CACCATGCTTTTGCAAATGGAATGAATAGGGAGTGAATTATACTTTCACTGCGAGCTGCAGTGGCGGAGAGACTGAAGAATTGTGAGGAGCTGTAGGCAGGGAGTTGAAGGCGGAAGCCGGTCTTTGCGGGGACGTGTCGTTGTTGCGTTTCTTTTCTTGTGTTGGGGAGAGACAAAAGAGTAATGACCAGGGTCTGGTAATGGACTATGAGACTGGCATTTATCCTTCACCGTCCGCACTGACTGCGATCATAGAAAGTCAAAAGAGCATTTTCCTATTAGGCTAACTCCAATTGAGCATCTATATTTGGGGAAAGTTGGCTCCAATAGAGTCTCTATAAATGGAGGGAGGAGTCTTTATATTTGGGAGAGATCTCCAAAAGGATCCCTAAATTTGGGGGGTGGGAATGGAGGTTCCACCAAATATAGAGACTCCCCAAAGCCCGTCATGTGGCGTTTCTTTTTCTTTTTAATATTTTAAGGATTAATTGAGGATTAATTAGGGAATTAGTTAGGGGTTTAATTAGATCAATAATTTTCAAGTGTTGTGTGTAAACCCAAATTAGGTCAATCATTTTTTGTCAACAAAAATTTGGTCTCAAAATTAAAAAAATTTCTACCGAAAAATTTGTATTTAAAAATGATGACGAACCATACAAAAATTAACATGAACAAATTATATTAAGACTTCGATAAGTACATTTTTAAGTAAATGAAATACTTAAAAAATGGTGATCTCCAAATATAAAGGATGTAGCATTGGAGCAAAAGAAGGAAAAATGGGGATGAACCCCAAATTTGGGGATGAATTTGGGGGCTTGCATTGGAGTTGGTCTTAGGAGCATGGATGTCAAGCGTTAGGTTAGATGATGTGTGGCTGAACCTATTATAAACTAGAGTTGTATCCGGCCCGTTGGCCGGTTTGTGGTCATTTGGGTATTTTTTAGTTAAACGTATGTGGTTCGATTTTTAGTATTGTACACTGGTGGTACAAAAGACTACTTTGATAGTTTTTGTTTTTTAGTGCCCGTTAACTTTATAATTTTATTGAATTTGTAGTTCATTTTATACTTAATTATAAGAAGTTTAAGTTAGACAACGAATGAAATGAAAAACTATCTGGAATTTATATTCATGCCTTGAGATATTAAACATCACTGAATCAAAAAAACATCAACAAAATTTTTTATCTTTCGTTATATGTGAATAATTACCTTGCAAATGAAGCTTTGAAAACTTTATTACTATTTTAATTTAAATATAGTTGATTGTCATCTATTGAATTAAAAAGTAAATAATGTACATAATATTACTATAGATGTATTACTTTTAAATAGTTTAAAGATACAAAAATTCGAGGAGAAAAAAATGTGATATGGAAATAGATTATTTGGACAATTATGTAAAGAAAATCCAATAATATTAGTATAGATGTATTAAATTTATATTTTTGAAAGAGACAAAAATAAAAATATTATCAAAAGAATATTTTGACTTGAAATGACCTTTTTAAGTTATTCAATCATTTGAACTTTAGTTATCATAATTCAAACTTAACCTTTAACAATATGCTCATATTTTATTGACTATGTCGTATATTTTCAAAAGCGGAGCGTTGGTCGGATGAAAATTTTCAATCACTCATGATTAATGGTTTATCATTATACAACTATTTTTTAATCGTTAATGGAACTATTCAGATGTAAATAACAACGTAGTTAGGTTCAAGAAGCATTTAAGTTATTTCATTGGACCATATTTTACGTTTAATAAATTTTTAATAAAAACTATCTCAACTTTAAGCAATTACATAGAGTAAATAAATTGATTTTTTTGTTTGATCTAATTCGACACAAATATCGAGTCGGTACGATATGGATCGAATTATTGTTTAACCTACGACTAAATATGCAATCTTACCTTTCAAAATTTAATGTAAAAGTTAGACATGCTAATTTGAAAATTAAAAGAATTTAAAACAATATAAATTGATTGTATTTTGCCAAGATTTCATGTCTTTCTTCCTCTTCATGTTTGCAGAATCACTGTGAATTTAAGATCCTAAAACTTTTGAAGGTTGATGCTTGGTTTATTTGTTTAACGTAAAACGCTAATGCGAAAAAACCTATTCCGAAGGAAGCTCTTCCCAAACATCCACGCCACAACGATATATCATCTTTATCATCTCAAAATCCAATTCGCAAGCATTATCTCATTTAGGAGTTAAACAACTTTAGGTAGCCTCTGTTTTTTCCTTAACCACACAAAATAAATCTACACAGAGGAAAATTCAAATAATTATTATGTAGCATTTACCTTAAAACAAATCTTATTTTTCCTTAATCCTAATCGCATTTACTAAAAAGAAAACCAAAAGTCCAATAATAATGAGTGACCCTTGAGTGTTTGAAAAATTGTCAAAGTTGTTCTTCCACCAAATAAGGAGAACCAATCAAAGTGCAAGGTGGTAACAATGACATAGAGTGAAGTGCATAATAAATTGTGTAGATTATAATTGGGGTTGATCCTGAAATCGGTTGGAATGTCTAACCGTATGATCGATTTATGTTCTCTAAAATGAAATTGTTTGGTTTAATTCACCCGCATAGCCATAACTTTCACGGTTTTGACAAATATAGCCACTTTTTGAAAAATACACTAAAATAGTCATTCCGTCAAAAACTTTAACGGACTAACTGCGAATGCTGACTGGACTAACGGTAGTGATTGAAGTGGCATGTTTTTTTAATTAAGTAAACAATAAATAATAAAAGAAAAGACCCAGTGAAAATTATCCTTTTCTTTTAATTAATTGAAAATCCTACAATTTATGTTTTGTCCGCCGCTAAGACTTCCCTTCCTCTTCTTCTTCATCTTCTCGCCACTGCCAATCCTCTGTCGCTACACCCACAAGCTCTTTCCCCTTAGCCCAGCGAGCAAGAAAATGCATTTCTCAACGACCCAGCGGAGAAGAGAGGTGGCGGTGGTGGTCCGGAGCTGAAGAAGTTCGTCGATCTGTGAGAAGTACAAAGTAGCGACGGTGGGCAACAGGGGACTGGCGGCGGTTCCTCCTCTTCTCTCCTCCTCTTGCTTGATCTGGCCTCCCCTCACCTCTTACATCTCGTCGGCGAAAATACCATACCGAGAGATTGAAGAACCCTAATCGCCATTGAACTTTCCCTTTGAAAAATTCCAGATCCAAAAACTGTTTCGTGTATCTGTTTCTCTCCGCCATTGTTGAATCTCTAAAGTCTCCACCATAAGATGATTTTCAGAGTCGGAGTTGCGAGCGGGTTATGAACGGCCGATTTAGATCCTCTCCTGCTTTCTTCGGTGGACAGGGGTCGTTCTCCCCTCGATAGGGATTCCACGGCGAAAGTGGCGGCTGAACCAGGAACGATGCCCTAAACAGATTTGACCGACGAGAATCGGTACCTGAATTTGTTGCTCATTAATTATCCATTCCATAAGGAATCAAAGAGAGAGATAGTAGCAGAGGAAGAAATCCAAGCTTTGGAGAGGGAGATGAATCGGACGGTGTGGAGAGCAAAAGAGAAAGAGAAAGATAATAATAATAATAATAATAATAATATTGTTTTCTGGAAAATAAAAACTTTAATTTGACGTGGCACCCAGTTGGCATGGCGAGTCTAGTTGGACATGTGTTGGAACTGATGTGGGAGGTGAAGTGGCATCCACATTAGCGTCTTGCTAACGTTGTTAAAGTTTTAAATGAAAATGGCTAATTTTGTCAAATGAGTTTCCAAAATGTGGCTACAACTGTGTATTTTTCAAAAAGTGGCTATATTTGTCAAAACCATGAAAATTATGGCTATGCGGGTGAATTAAACCAAATTGTTTTAGTTAGTTTAATTAAGGTCAAATTCATCTGTATAGCCAAAACTTTGACGTTTGTGACAATAATAGCCACTTTTGAAGAAATACCAATAATAGCCAGAATTTTGAAAGTTTGATGACATTTATAGCCATTTCGTTACATAATTTGACGGCGTCAATAACACCGTTAGTCAAATTAACAGAACGCTTACATGGCTGCTAACTCACCGAACACATCATTGAAAACTCATCAACCCTTGCCACATGTATGCCACGTCATATTTAATTTAAAAATAAATAAAAACTCAAAATTATTTTCACATATTCTCTCCTCTTCCACCAACGCCAATGGCCGTCGCCCTTCTCTCCAACTCTTCCTCTTCCCCTGCTGCGAGAAGCGAATTTCCGGCGCCGACAGCGTGGTTATGTGACGGAGAAGTGTACAGTTGGAAGAAACGGCAGATCAAGAGACTTGAAACCTCAAAAACCTAACAACAAAGTGGAAAGAAACTAACAAATCAACCTGCAAAAACCAACAAAACACACGACACATTCAAATAGAGAAAAAACAGAAGGAAGATGAAGAAGAAAGAGGTATGAGATTGAAGAACATAGCAAGAGGCGGATCGGTTCACGGCCACGCAGATCTTCAACGTCGGTTGGAGACCCACGATTCCTCCTCCCTCCGGCGTTTCCTCTTCAAACATACCAGCCTCTCCCCCGCCACAGAACCCCCAACAACAACAAAAATTCCTAATCCAATCCAAAGAACCACTAATCTGATTGTGCAATCATCTTCCTTTCCCCAACAGCAAAACCCCCAATTCAATCAATAGAAACCATTAAATGAAACCATCCCAATTCCGAAACCATCATGAGAGGGGAGCCGAATCTATACCAGAAGTAGTAGGAGTCGCGGCCGTTGAGGCTCCAAGAAGGCCCCTTCAATAACTTGGTGTAATTAGACAGCCAAAAGCTCATCCTCGCCATGAGCCTCCTTCAAGAACTGTGGCGGAAGCTCGCACCAAACGCCGTCCTTGCCTCACCCTCCTGGAACGCCCGATCTAAATTTTCTCTCGCGTTCGGATCTAGATCCTTCCGTCGACTCCAACATCGCGACTAATTTTCTCGCCGCCTCATTTATCGATGAAATTCCCCAATTTTCAAGGCCCCCTCTTGGACCGCTTTTCTCCGTCGTGAGGCTCTCCTTCTGCAAAAACACGAGGCACAAACCCCCCATAGTCGATTCTTCCTTGCGCCGGCTCTGCCGCCAGACTAGGCCGGGAATGGAGGTTTCCCATCAGCTCTTTGGTGCCCTCACAAAGCTCCACCTCCATCGCCGAGAAATACGAAGGACCAGAAACCATCACCACTTCCTCCTCCTTCCTCTAATCCTCGTCCACTGCCAAAACCGCTATTTTGTATCTTCGCATCCGCCTCCAAATCCGCGATATTCATTTCGATTCCTCCCAACCGACCTCCACAGCTCTCTTCGCTCAGTGGCCACACAAACTTAGTAAAGCTATCGGGCGAATGGAGCGACGTGAGGCGGCAGGATCTGCGCAGCCGACGCCGTCGCGGCCGTCGTCTCTTCCGCCTTTTCAATGGCGTGGATGCTCTATTTCGTCTACTCCATCGTTTTTGTATCGAATCAAAGGAGGGGTGGAGGGACTAGGGTCCGGTGGAAAAATAATTGATTGGTGGGAGAGGGCTCTCGCCACCGCCACACTCACCCGTAGCATAAGGAAGAAGATAGAAGATTTCAGATCTGTTCGCCCTCTTGATGCAGGTGAAAGAACCGAGAGGGAGAGAGAGAAAATAAATAATATTTGATTTTTTTATTTTTTGTTTTTTCTGTTAATTCCACCTCATGTTTTTATTGACTAAACGGCTGACATGTCAACTTTTCTTTTAGTCCAGTTAGCATGTTAACTAACATCGTCAAACAATTGGACGGAAGTGGCTATTTTTGGTATTTCGCCAAACATGGCTATATTTGGCAAAATTGTCAAAGTTTTGGCTATACAAGTGTATTTAGCCTTTAATTAAAAAAATTGTGATTGATTTTAGGTTTAATACACTTGCATAGCCATAACTATGCACGTTTTGACAAATATAGCCAAATTTTGAATAATACACTAAAATAGCCATTCCGTCCATAAGTTTAACGGAACAGTGACACATGCTGACTGGACTAACGTCACTTGCTGATGTGGCTGACTTTTCATCTTGATCTTGCCAAGTTGGAAATGACGGATTTATTATAATATTAAATGGAAAATTAAAAATAATAAAAGAGAAATGTATATCATCGCCGTTTGACCTTTCCTGTTGCTGCCATGGCATTCCTTCCCGGTGCCGCTTCATCTACTCTTCTCCACAAATCTCCAATTTATAAAACCAATGGAACAAAAATTCCACAATTCGAAAATCCCAGGCAGCTCGGGGAAGGCGAGAACAGAGGTATAAGGGGTTGGTGGCGGAAGGCGGAGGAGCAGGTCTTCGATTCTCAGATCGCTCTCCCTCTCTCCACATATACATCTCCCTCTCCGCGACTAACCTCCTCGCATCTCTCGGTGGATTGTGTTATGGAATCAATGACCCTAGTCTCCAATTGGTTGCGGTGGTTGTTCTAGGGAGCAAGTGACGGCGGTGGTTCCGTGAGAGCTCGAAGCCAATGTGAGAAAGCGGGTCAGTAAGAACCATATACTCATACCCTTCTTCTCCCTTTCAATCGACCAAACACAGCGGAGAGGGAAGGAATTGACGAGAGCTGCTCGTTTCAGTTTTCGTTGCAGCTGCTCTCCTATTCTAGATCTGGTCAAAATCGCACACAACCTCCAAGCTCTATGGATCTGTAAAAGTGACAGAGGAGTGATGGTGCAGGTACAAAAGCGGGAGGCGAGAGTGATGGAGGTGATTAGAACGAGGATGTCGATGGAGACTCCGATTCTGCCGATGTTCTGGGAACAGAGGAATCCGCCGCCATAGCGGTGCCCACAACTTCACGGCAGATCTCCAAATCCCCCTCCTTCTTCTGACTTCAGATCTGAACTCCCAAATTAATTTGAATCCCAGAAACCCTAGTGGGAAAAGAAGGAAGAAGGGGAAGGAAGAGGCCGGGAGGTGACCAGTACCCGATTCCTCGGACAGTCGACGACAAACTCGAGCGATGAGTTGCCGGTCAGGTCGCCGACGCCGCCTTCGACAATGGAGACGATGACCGGCCGACGGGGATCCCACTTGGTGCACTCGAGTCGTCCTAGCTCTGGTAGTGGAAGACGTGGGTGGAGGGTGGGAGAGATCGAGGGAGATGAATAGGCAACGGGGATGGACGAGTTAGGAGGAGGATGAGAAGGGATTTGAGGAGCAGACGACAAAAATGGCCATCGCAGATGGAGGTTGGCAGTAGTTGTTGGGGGATTGCGTTTTGGATTTCATTTTTCTTTTATTTTAATTCAAAAGTTTTCTTCCATTTTAATTAAAAATATGATCTGGCAGTGATGCGGCATGTGACCTGGTATGTTGGAGCTGATGTGGGAGATGAGGTGGCATCCACATCAGCTTCGTGTTAACGGTGTTAAAGTTTTTAACAAAAATGGCTAATTTTGTCAAACGAGTTTCCTAAAGGTGGCTACAGCTGTGTATTTTTTGAAAAGTGGCTATTATTGTCAAAATCGCGAAAGTTATGGCTATGCAAGTGTATTAAACCTTGATTTTATGAACTTGAAAGTAAAATGCTGATGTTGAAAGTTAAATGTTGATGTTATTTGTGAATTCAAGAATAAAAATTTTGCGGTTGACGTTAAATGTCGTATTTAAATATGAGTTTTTGTTATTTTATTTGGAATGTTGTATTTTATTTAAATATGAATGTAGATTGTAAGTAGATTGTCTTCAAACATGTTTGATATATGCTTAAATTCATTTTATGTTAATGGTCTTTTCTAGTTTTGCATATTTTGTTAAACCTCCATGAACGGCATAAACCGATCGTACCTCGGTCGAACTATACACTTGCTTTTTTTTTTTTGACAAAAGATATATATTAATCAAACAAGAAGATAGTTACATCCTGGAATTCAGCCTAGCCAGAAAATCAAAAACACGACAAGCAGCCGGGTACAACGAAAGGGCCTTCCTAGCCACCAGATGGGCTACCCTATTACTACGCCGACCTACAAATCGAATACTCACACCATGATGGAGGACAAATAATTGCACCACTTCACTAAGAACAGCCCCCATCCTACTATCCTCTGCCTCCAGACACCGAATTTTATCGATAATCACCTTAGCATCTCCCTCAAACCGAACCACACTATACCCTTGAGCTAGACACCACTGCACAGCCTCCCGAAGCGCCAAGACCTCAGCAACCACCGGATCTTCAATAATCGGGAACTGAACCCCTTTAGCCCTTAGGATCCCACCTTCCGAGCTTAGCACCATGCCCCCCGCAGAGTGTGAGCCAGTTCTCGTCGCCCCATCCCACCTACAAACAACCCCAGACTCCGCCTGGGGAGCCGGTAGGCTCTGCAAGGCACTCACAACCACGCCGGCAATCGCATCCATTCATCCACTTGCTGCTGAAACTGGCGAACCAGGGCCAAGAAGGCAAACTGTTTTCCCTTAAAAACAACCCAATTCCGGGACTTCCAAATCCGCCAGAGGACAGCAATCACAGCCATGAACTGAGCCGGCTGATGGATGAGAGCCAATAACCGCTTGAGAAAAAGGGGGAAAGTGTGTAGTGGAAGCCCCTCTCCCAGAAACTCCAACCCAGAGTAATCCCACATGGCTCGAGCAACTGGGCAATAGAGGAACAAATGCTCCATGGAATCCTGCTCTTCCCAACACACCGGGCACTACGGCAGTACCGGCACCTTCTTCTCAACAAGGGCCTCCATAGTAGGAAGGATGCGGTTAAATATCTGTCAGGCAAAGATCTTCAGCTTCGGAGGAATATTCGCGTCCCACAAACGGATCCAACTACTCTTATCCATCCAGCTAACCATATCCCTCCACCGGCCCGATCGTTTGTCAAGAGTGACCGCAAGGTGATACGCAGATTTAACTATGAAACTATACACTTGCTAAACCGACGCAACAGTAAAAATCAGTTTGACAACTTGACTTCGAGAGAATTATTTTTTGGTTAAATGCACTTGTATATCCAAAACTTTCACGGTTGTGCCAATAATATCCAAATTTCCCGAAATACCACTTATATCCAATTCCTTCACATTCTTTAACGGTGTTTTTGGATATACAAGTGTATTTAACCAAAAATATATTGGGAAATGGATAGATTTGGCAAAGAACAACTTTAAAACATGGATATAAGTGGTATTTCAATAAAATTGGATATTATTGGCACAATCGTGGAAGTTTTGGATATACGAGTGTATTAAACCTTATTTTTTTTAAGGGTGACATAGGTTTGTTTATATTGTTATGTGCTTCTTGAGGGTTCGAATTTGAGAACTCTAGTTTGAAGATTACTTGAGAGGAATTCTTTTTTACAAGAGTGACATAGTTGATGTCCACAGTTAGGTGCTTCTAAAGGGATTCGAACTTGAGACCTGCATATTCAATACTAGTGGTACTACCAATTTACCACTGGTCAAGCCTTTGTTCGCATACTTGGGAGGATTTTACGATGCTCGTAAGCATTGTGCTTTCAGGTACAAATTGAATTTGATGTTTAAGGTACAACTTCAGTTTGTACCGTAAAAAGGAATTTCTATGAAAAGGTATAGATATTTGTATCTTAACGTTATATTACATATTTAATTTGTAATATTTTTTATCCAAACATTTTTCAGATTCTTTTATATTATCCAAACCTATTAAAATATTATTAATTAGCCAAATCTTTCTTAATGAATCAAAATATTATCCATTTTATGTTATCGTTAATAATTTTGTAACTTTTACTAAAATTTTGGAATGTTGACCTTCATGTGTCCTTTCCAAGTCAGTATCATGTTGTCAAGTCAATATTACTAACAAAATTACTAACTAGAAGTTAGCATTTGGCTAATTCTTAGTATTTCGATAGGTTTGACTAATAAAAAAGAATTCGGAAAAGGTTTGACTAATAAATAATCATTACCCTTTTTATACAAAAATGTATTAGTACAAACTGAAGTTGTGTCATAAAAGGTTTTTTTTTAACCAAAAGCCCAATGCTTATAAGTATAGTAACAGAGCTCTTGGGAGGAATTTACAATGCTTTGGACGAGTAAGGTAGCTACTCCATAGGTGCTAGTAGTTAGTACCATAATCACATCAATTATTTTGAAGTTGCATTTAAGGATGAAGAATAGTGAATGACTTGTTTGTATTGTATTGTATAAAATCCAAATTAAAATTAAAATCTAATTTTTTCACTATTAAATATTTCCTGAAAATTTATTAGGATAAATTATATACAACCTTTACTAGTTAAATTAGTAGTAATTTTGATGGTTTATAGTAGTAATTTTGTTTTTCGTAGTTATTTTGTTGGCATTATAGTAGTGATTATGGCTGGTCATAATTAGTTTTTATAGTTATTAGTAGTGTTTTGTCAGAGTAGTGTTTAAAACCACTAATTGTGTATAGTCAGAGTAGTAGTGTTCCCATTAATAAGTAATGTGCAAGTTGCAAAAAGTACGATTCCTGCCCCTTTGAATGAGAAGATGTCGCTTTTTAAACCTTTCTTTGAAAAGTAGTTCCCCATATCCCTAATGGGAAGGAAAGGTGACTTGAAAGATTCCTAAGAAATGTCCAGTAATTGAGAAGTTCGCATAGTTTGAGACTTCGGAGAACTGAATTAATTGAGTCTCAGCATCATTGCCAGCGAAAATCAACATATCCTCATGGAATGCAACGAGTGGAGGAGAACCATCTTCCATTCCCCTCCAAATCTCCAAAACCGTGTTTGAGTATCATCTTGGAGAGAGATGCTGACAGACAACAGTGTCTATCTTCTAATTCCTCCGCCACGTCCGTGGACAAAAAGTACTACGTACCCAAGGATACGAGTCAGGTCGACGTAAAGAAGAAATGCAAGATTTTATGCATGAGTTAGTTCGACTGTTTCTGTGATAGTAGTATTGTTTCATCACAAAACCATATTCCAACTAGTGGTCGTGTTTCTTCAAGGAAGTAGTTGTTTTCGTCAAGAAAAATATTTGGTGCAACCCATAGGAAATTGGGAGTGGATAGGGTGCTAACACTCTTAAGTGTTAGCACCATACTAACACTTAGAGGTTGTTTGCTTGTGGGATTTTAAAAAATGAAGGATTAGGGTAAAACCTTGGATTTTGAAATTGAAGAATTATGTTGGATTTTGCTATTTTGAATTCGTGTTGCATTTTAGAAATTGCATGTTTGCTTGGTGGATTTCAAAATGGATTTTGCTATATTGGATTTATGAGTTAAATGACGAGTTTACCTTCTTATCCTTCTTCTTATCCTTAATAAAGTATTTTTTACTTTTGTTTTATTTGTTAAGGATAATTTGGTCATTTTATAATAGTGGGGTCCACGAATTTTGACACTTCTCAAAATCTTACATCATGAGGTGGGATTTTATAATCCGTGGGGTCCACGGATGTTGAGTAAAAGAAAATCTCACATTTGTGGGCTCCACGAATTTATGTCAACTTCATTTTTATCAACAAACATGGATTTGGGCCATAATCCAACCATATGGGATTTTGAGACAAAATCACTTATCAAAATCCTACAAGCAAATAACCTCTTACTCTAAGGTATTATATAGTAACTATTTCTTCTCTTTTCCTTTCCTTTTCATTCTCCTCCCCTTGACCCCCTTCTATGTTTCATTAACAAATTACAGTTTTGGTACCTGAACATTATATATAATAATACTTAGCATCTAAAATTGTTACTTTTAATTTTGTATCCAAAAAATCGATGGAAATTTACATTTTAGTTCATGAAATTTTTATTTCTTACATTTTGGTACCTAAACTTTTTAAATTGGCAAACAGGTCTACAACTAAGAAACTTCTGGCCTACTATGAGGAGGTTCTGACATACTTTGAGGTTCTGACCTACTTTGAGGAGGTTCTGGCTTCCTTTGTGGAGGTTCTAGCCTACTTTGAGAAGGTTCTGACATGCTTTGAGGTTTTGGCCTACTTTGAGAAGTTTCTGGCCTACTTCGGTGGTGTCCCTCTTTTCCTCACATCTAATGCAAAAAGGACGTCAGGTCCCCCCTCCCTTCTCCCAATTTTTATTAATGACCAGCATGCCCCTCCTTTCTTTTCCCTTCATTAATTGTGGTTAACTCATTTAAATATAAAAGTCATACAAACGAAATGTTCCTATTAGCTGGAGCTAGTGTTAGGAGTTAAGACTTAAGACCATGCTAACAAAAACAGTGATGGCATGCTAGCCTTTCCCTGGAAAATTGAGGATTTGTTTGCTTTTAGTGATAGTTGAATTGATGCATTGTGAACAACTAATATATTATATTGTATATGTAATTAAAAAAACAATGTATTGTAGTTTACATTATTTTGTTTTTGTGATAGTTATTGTAATATTCAAATAAGTTATATTATTTTTGTGAGAAAAAATCACTTGTTCTCTTTATTTTTAATGTTAATTAGCACCACAAAGTTTGGAATATAGTTGGAATAAAAATAATCCAACAATCTGAAAGTAACTATCTCAACAATCATTTTGAGTCCTAGTTACAATACTTGTATTATTTATACAAAAAATTCAAAATCATAATACATTGTGAACAATACGAATACATTAACTATTTCAACCAAATTGTCATCAAAACCGAATGAACTCTTAATTCAAAACTGCTACACAAAACACCATCTACATTAAGTCAAAATCACTGCTATACTCGTAAAACGTTATAACATTTAAAACACTTTCATGTCCATTTGATTTGGAAACTCTAAAAAAAATGACAACCACTATCAGGATTCAAATTGTCAAGAACCAATGGATCTCAATAACTCGAGTTATTGAGAGAGGGTTAAATATAGATCATATATCACTCTTTAACACATCCCCTCAAACGAAAGTCACTCATAAAAGGCTTGAAGTTTGCACAAGTCTGAATATCATGTGCTTAACAAATGAAGGTTATGGGGATTCAGACACAAGACCTCTCGGTCACAGAATGCTATAATACAATGTCAAGAACCAATTGATCTCAATAACTCGAGTTCTTGTGAAAGCTTCAATTATGGATCATATATCATTTACTAACACACTGCCTCAAACAAAAGCAAACTCATTGGGCTTGAAATTTGCATAGACTCATGTGCTTAATAAATTGGAGTTATGGAAATTCAAACACAAGACACAGAAAACTCTAATAGATACAAATAGATACAACTCGAATTGTTTAGAGTAGATCATATATCATTTAGTCCAAACAAATATAGAATGATCAACACTACGAATGACATATCATCCCTCTCCCTACTCCCTTTTTATACAATGTGAGTGGCACTCAATTTCAAAATGTCAACCTAGTCTAGTAAGTTTACAAAAAAAAAAAAAAAAAAAAAACGGTTCACTGCCATTTTACCTCTTTTCGCCACACAAACATCTAGCAGCTTGCAGAGCGAAATAGGTGAGGATGATGTCAGCGCCAGCTCTTCGGAGACACAACAGGGACTCCATCATTACCTTCTCTTCATCAATCATTTTAAGAATCCCACCCGCCTTAATCATCGAGTATTCCCCAGAGACCTGCATTCGTAATTTCATAACAAAACTATTAGAAAGGAAGCCTACCAATAGAGAATTGAACATGATTTAGTTGGAAGAGTACCTGATATGCAGCGATCGGCAAAGGTGAGTTGTCTCTGATTTGCCGGATGATATCGAGATACGGAAGACCAGGCTTGACCTGAAAACCCAGCGGGGCAAGTTAAGAACGAGACAATCTTTTACATATACAAATTCAGGGATCCAGAACGGAAAGGGATACCAACCAGGAGAATATCAGCTCCTTCAGATTCGTCTTCATGAACCTCAACCAAAGCCTCTCTGTAATTTGCAGGGTTCATCTGATAACTTCCATTTTTCCCAAACAAGTAAAAAGAGTTAATTTAGGGACAGACATAGACACTTTAGGTTTGATCTATGAAAACAGAACATCCTCAACAAAGCACGTACGTCTTTTTATCACCGAAACGTGGATTTGAGTCCAGTGCTTCACGGAAAGGGCCATAGAAAGAACTAGCATACCTGGTTGCATGATTTAAGGAGGATTAGTAATTGATGCAACAATAGAACCATTCACCAAATCAAATATAAACCAATTCATCAAAAGTTCAAAACTGTCTCCAAATGATACAATATTTTTCACAGGTCTAAACTCCTAATCACCAAATCAACCAAGTTGTCGATTGAATCACTAGAAAATCCCAACTTCTAGTGACTCCTTTATATGTGAATATTCCACTCACAGAAAACTGCTATTGTCCAAATCTTGCCAAAAGTCAAGAGCAGAGAAGGTATAACACCAATGACTTACTTTGCTGTGTAGGACATGATTAGAACTTGCTGAAATCCTGCACCATCAAGAGCATCACGGATAGCTCCAACACGGCCATCCATCATGTCACTAGGACTAACAACATCAGCTCCTGCTCGAGCCTGTTCATTCGAAGTATCCATGATTAGGACGTGTATCTAGAATCCCTGACAATTTGAACTTTACGATATCAATAGATAGAAGATAATACAAAGTTGGTGATGGAAAATAGGAAGGCTCTTGTATTTAAGCCAAAATCAAACAAACGATTATGAACTTTGACAAAAATCAAGGAAATTCTTCTCCAAAATAGTCATGAATGTACATTATATGGACCAAAGAACTTTATCACACCGTTGATAAGCGAAAGTAATCAATCTAATACATAAAAAAAAAACCCTCGATAAAACGAATGGCTGGCATGAATTGATACTACTATGTGTATTACCTGTGCAACAGCTTGCTTGCACAGTTGGTGTACTGTCTCATCATTCATTATGACTCCTGGAGGTTTACATTGAGAGCAATCAGAAACTACAGATGAAGCATTTGCCATCAAAGAAAACTAGGCTCTCGCACGTGATCTAACAAATTTTATGGACAAAGAAGACAATTGCGATCTATCAGTTCTAAGCAATATCTCATGCACAAGCACACGTTTCTGACACTTCTGATATAAAACATAAATGTCCCAATAAGATATTTCAGTTCTCCTAAAAGAGCAGTAGCTCCAGTAAGGATGCTGTCCTAAATGAGCCAAACACTGAAAAGATTAGTTAGTCAAGTTTCCTACATAATTAGAACATGGATTTAGCATCCGCATAACTAGAATAGTTCCTATGGCATGACCAGGTTGTCCTTCACTAAGGAACTCATGCAGAAAATGCAGCTACGAACATCCTAGATTTTTCCATTCTAGAATGACTATCCTAATTACAAATGTTGGAACTTGTTCGACTCCCTTAGCATCCCTATCAAGCTACTTATACCACTTCAAGCTAACATATTTCAAATATAAGACCAAAAAATCACATTGACAGTTATATCTTCTTACCATCTTCTCTCACAATACCATCATGCCCATCAGAGGAATACGGATCGAGAGCCACGTCAGTATAAATAACCTAAAGAAAGATCGAGTCAGGATTGGCGAAAGTATAGATTTCCACAAATCATTGAGCAAACTATGAGATTAAGTCTCAATTGAGTATAACATCCAAGTCCAATTAAACATATGCAGTTTCACTTACAATACCAGGGAATTTGTCCTTTAGCATTCGGATGGTCCTTGGAACTAGACCATATTCATTATAAGCTTCATCTCCTGTAGGGGTCTGCAATGGAAGAAAGAAAGTTAAATTCCACCTTGGCTGCAATAGAAAGGGAAATCCAGAAGACCTGTCATCCAGGACAGAAGAAGAACCTTCAAGGCATCAGGAACTTTGGGGAAGAGTACAATACTGTTCACACCAACATCCCGGGCCTTTGCAACCTGCATCAGACATTTTAGTAGTGTGCAACAAACTGCTAGTCAGCAGATATACTCAGCTATTGTGCATGCATTACAATTTGAAAGTCTTCCGACTGCCCATCTACAAGAAGAAAAATATTTAACCTAAACTTCAAAGATAGTTAGCATTAATAATCGAGCCAAAAGTCTTAGGCTTTCACATGGGAGACGAGTTAGCAGGAGATACCCAAACAAAATCATGGTCTCCTAAATCTACATTCAGTTATGATATCAGATGTTGCTTGCTTGTCAACTCATAAACCGTCATATTCTATCAAGAACACTAGTCAATGGTACTCACTGGCTGATAGGACAAAGCAGCTGGATTTGATTCTTTGAAAAGGGTCTCATTCCCAATTGACCATAATCTACGTCCCATTTGAACCTTGCATTGGTTCGTTTAGAAATGCGCCGATAAAGCAGCAGGTTCGATGGTTCTATTTACTGAACCCCAAGATGAAATTTAACCAAGAGACTGCCCAAAGTCAAGGATTTTGCCTACAATCTATCACTGTCAACGGAAGTGATTCTGCCATACAAGCAAAAAAGGGATGAATCACCTCTTCCAACAGTCCATGTCTCCATCCAAACCTATAACATCCCGGCATTGCCCCAATAGGCGTGTCCTCCTCGCCTGCACGTATCAGAATTCAGCAACCCATTGCTAACAAAAAAAAAGGGGTAAAGAAACGGAAAAGCCGATTGAATGGATTTGCATTCCCAACCTTCGTGAATGAAAAGTGGATAAACAAAATTCGCCGGCGATATACTGGTTTCCTGAAACGCTGCTCTAAGCGCAGGTGATCTTCGAGTTCGACGAGGGCGCCTGGAAAGTGGCTGCCGGGAAGAAGGAATACAAACACAAAATAACGCCAGTAAAATCCTCCAGAAACCGAATAAATCGCTACAATAATCAACTCGTGGAAAATTTTAGCACTAACAAGCGAAGGAACCACGGGAGTCCCGGCGGGAGCAAGGGGTGTGGGCGGGACAGGAGGCGCCTCGGGGACGTTCCCTGCGGCAACTGCTGCTTCACATTCAGCATCGCTCAATCCCGTCTTCACCGGTCCATCGCTGGTCGCTCTCACCACCGGAAACAGCGGCTTCGGAGCCGGAGAAGACGAAGAAGGAAAATTGCCCAGGGTGGGTTTGTAGGTGTTGCAATCCAAGCCTTTCACAGCAGTAGGGAGACTCGACGAAGTGCTGAATATGGTGGACGCCATGGATGGGGATAGGTTTCAGCTGGGAAGTGGGATAGTTGTCAAAGTAAATCAAGAACGATAACACGAAACGTGGTTTCCCTGAATGTCAAGACTAGTCCACGGGAGACTCGAAATCCTCCAAAGTCAATCTTATTCGTTACCGAGGCATATGTACACAGGTCATTATATAGAGGTTACGTACAAACCCTAATGACTAAGGCATGTACAATTACACAATGGTACCTACACTTTAACACCCTCCCTAAAATTGATGTTGAGTACGCAACATCAATTTGGAAGATAGATACTAATGCCTACTTGAAGCCAAAGCCTTAGTCAAGATATCAGCAGTCTGATCTTCTGTTGACAGATAGCTCAACTGTATTCTTCCTTCTGTCACCAGCAGCCGGATATAGTGAACGTTAACCTCTATATGCTTAGTTCGGTCATGTAGGACTGGATTGAGTGCAATCTGTAGGGCACTAGTGTTATCTCCATACAACTGCATAGGAACACGACCCTCAAAACCCAACTCCTCCAGTAATCTCTGTAACCAGACCATTTCAGAACTAACATCAGACATCGAACGATACTCTGCCTCTATTGAGGACTTAGAAACTCGGTCTTGTTTCTTGCATCGCCATGAAACAGATGATTGTCCAACCCTGATACACCATCCAGAAGTTGATCTTCGAGTATCAGGACAACCTACGTAGTCAGCATCGGCAAATGCTTCAATTACAGCCTCTCCAGACGCAGGAAAGAAGAGCCCAACGTCCTGTGTCTGCTTAAGATATCGTAGAATTCTGTGCACAGCCGCCAAGTGTTGTGCGCGAGCCACTTCCATGAACTGACTGACAACCTGTACATAATAAGCAATACTGGTCGGGTATGAGTTAAGTAAATTAAACTGCCTACCAAACTGCGATACAGAGACTGATCTTCCATCAAATCACCATTGTCTCTTGTCAATTTCAGATTTTGCTCCATCGGTGTCGCACATGGCTTACAGTCTGTATAATGTGTTGTTTCCAGAAGGTCAGCAATATACTTCTTCTGTGAAACAAGAAGACCCTACGATGATCGTTGAACCTCCAATCCTAGGAAGTATGACACGTTGCCTAAATCCTTAAGATTAAAAGCTTCGCGAAGAGACTTCTTCAATTCCTGGATGCCTCCTGCGTCACTGCCAGTGATGATCATGTCATCTACATAAATCAACAGAACCACTATACCATCTATCGTATTCCGAATAAACATAGATGGGTCATTCTGACTTTGCGTGAATCCAAGCTGCACATTAACACTGTGAAATTTCTCAAACCAAGCTCTTGGCGCCTATTTGAGTCCGTATAGTGACCGAACTAATTTACACACCATGTCTGCCGACCCTTTGGTGTATCCTGGTGGTCTCTCCATGTAGATTACTTCCTTCAAATCACCGTGCAAGAAGGCGTTCTTTACATCTAACTGAAACAAAGGCCAGTCTTTCATAGCTGCCACTGCAAATACACAGCGAACTGTTTGCATCTTGACTACCGGGGCAAATGTTTCATTATAGTCAATCCCATATTCTTGTAGAAACCATCGAGCAACTACTCTTGCCTTGAATCTCTCAATTGATCCATCCGGATGCACCTTGATGTTATAGACCCATCGGCTATCTATGACGGACATATCCGGAGTTCTCGGAACTAACTCCCAGGTATGGTTTGCGTCTAGTGCATTAGATTCCTCTTGCATTGCCATTTCCCATTCCAGATGGCCCACTGCCTGAGCATATGTCTTTGGAACAAACACCGCCTGCGTGGCATATCCCACATAGTCATGGAGTCGCAATGGTGGCTGACCTAGTGTACTTCGTGTAGATCGTCGAGGAACCACTTCTTCTTCTTCATTATCATTCGCTCCATTCTCCTCTCCACCCCCGTCCATATTGAATGAACCACCTTGCAATCCCTCATGAGATGACCCGGACGTTGACAAGCTGGATGTTGACGAGCTGGTGCTTGCCAATGAAGAAGAACTAGAACTCCCAGGGGACGCAGTCGAGGACTCTTCAGGGAAATCATGCAATACCTCTTCGTTCCCATTCCCTCCCTGATTTCCATGATCACCTGTAGAGTTAGGCTCACCAAAACTTGGGACAAAAGACAAAAAATCGAGGGAGGCCGCATGAGATTGTTTATCCTGGGATGAGATGGGATAATACATAACATGCTCTAAAAACAAAACGTGATAAGCAATCGGCATTCTCTTACCTATTGGATCATAAAAGCAATATCCCTTGTGTTTATCGCTGTATCCAACGAAAACACATTTAACCGTCTTCGGTGCTAATTTATGCCATTCTTTTCGAGGAAAAAGAACATAGCAAGTGCAGCCAAAAACCCGTAAGTGTGAGTAATCGGGAGCTCGAGAAAACAAAGCCTGATATGGTGAAATATGTCCCAATGTCGATGTGACTTGACGATTGATGAGATAGATCACGGTGTGCACTGCTTCTACCCAATAACCACTAGGAGTGTTCGAGTGAAACAACAATGCTCGTGTAAGTTCTAGAACATGTATGTGCTTGCGTTCAACTACGCCATTCTGCTGTGATATCCCTGGACATGACAGCTGAGACAAAATGCCCTCGGACTTGTAGAAATTGAGTAATTCATGCTTAACGAACTCCCCACCTGTATCTGACCGAATAACCTTGATAGTCTTGCCAAACTGAGTCTTGATGAGTTGGACAAACTCCTTTGCCAATCAACAAAGTTCGGACTTCCGACGCAGAAAAAACACCCAAGCATATCGTGTCTTATGATCGATAAACAAGGCGAAATATATGTATCCCATGCGAGATGTGACAGGAGAAGGACCCCATAAATCTGTATGAACTAAATCAAACGGTGACTCATAGACTGTCTCACTCAAAGCAAAAGAATTCTGAGAAGCTTTTGCTTCAATACAACTCAAACAATCCGACCTGGACCCAACAGAATGCTCAAGTTTTCCCGGTAATAAACCCTGACGAAACATCATCAACAGTCTAGCCGAATTTGGGTGACCCAAACGGCAATGCCATAAATCCCAAATTGACAATTTTTTCGACAAATCCACACCGACTGAACTAATAGATAAATCGGAAACAACATCAGCAGACGACGACTCCACAACGGCCACAGGCTTCACCAAATCAGCGGCCACCCTTCCAGCTTGTGCATGCAGCCCATGCACACATCCAGAACCCGCTGCCCCTTGCTTCTTCAGCTCATCCAGCACAAAAAGTCGACCTTGCTTACTTCCTTTCCCTATCACTTTCCCCGTCACCTGGTCCTGTACCACACAACCGTTGGAGTTAAAGGTAACATTGCATCCATCTTCTGTCAACTGCCCTACCGAAACCAGATTAGGGAGTAAACTAGGCACATATAACGTATCGGGAAGTGTGATATTAGGTGATGAAATAAGACCATGACCATTTACAGAGACGTGATCACCATTAGCCACTTTCAAGTTCATATGAGAGACGGGTTGTAACTGAGCAAAGGTAGAACGCACAGGGGTCATATGATTAAAGGCAGCCGAGTCTACTAACCAACGAGGAGACTTACCCGGCATAGTGCCTGCTGCAAAAGCCGAGTTCAAGGCCTCTTGTAAAGCATCCTGCACCATTTTCCGAACCAACTTTGGACTGAACATAGACCCGCCAGCATTGATTGAGGAAGAAGAACCACCCGAGGCCACGGTCGGCCCTGTCACTGCATACGCTGGTCCAGAATTCTTTGGCGGAGCACTGCAAGTCGTCGAGAAACTACCCCCCGAAGAACCATGATTAGGAAAACGAATTTTCCCTTTTTTGCTTAATGTAGGACACTCCAAAACCATGTGACCCGTCTTCTTGCAGTAGTTACAATAGTTACGTTTCTTGCAATGAATCTGAACATGACCAGATTCATGACAAAAGTGACAGATTACTTCTCCTGAACTAGGCTGGCCGAATTGAGGACGAGTAGAATTGCCTGAGCGACCAACAACAAAAACTGATTCAGAAGGCCCATTGTCGATTTGTGCCTGGCTTTTGAGTCGGGTTTCTTCCCGAATTAATTCCGCAACCACCGCATCAAGTTCAGTAACACCTCTATGAATTAAGGACGCTCTTATTGGTTCAAAATCAGGTCGCAACTTCATCAAAAACTGCATAACCCGAGTCCTTTGTCGTTCGTTCTGAACAACAACAGCTGAGGCATCCGTGGGTAATAGAGATGCCGTAACTAGATCATATTCCGTCCACAGATGTAAACAATGCTTATAATAACTACGCACATCTCGATCTCCTTGGGCCAGACCTGCTATCTCTATTTCCAATTCATACAGACGAGAGGTATTTGTCTGAGAGTACATACCGCAAATATGACTCCACATCTCATGTGCCGTTGCAAAACGGCGGAGACTCAATTGCGTCGGAACATCAACCGAGCCCAACAGCACCGTCACGACCTGTGCATTAAGGGCTTACCATTCTTCCTTCTGCTGCTGAGTAGTATCCGCACTCGGCGGCTTCGACGTTCCCATCAACACGGACGTCAACTTCTTTCCAGCAATATAGTTCCGGAATTGGAACTCCCACAACGGGAAGTTGTTCCCGTCAAACTTAGTAGTGACCGTCTCCACCTTATAGGAATCCATTGTCTCAAACACTAATCCAATAAACAACTAACGCGCAACACCAACCTATGACAGCAGATGCAACCTGTGTCAATAAAGCCAAGCAGCCGCCGAACCTGAAGAAACCTTTGCGCCAAAATTGCCAATCAAAACCTAGCCGTGAATCAACCAGGCTCTGATACCATGTCAAAGTAAATCAAGAACGATAACACGAGGTTTAACGTGGTCTGAATGTCAGGACTAGTCCACGGGAGAGCCGAAACCCTCCAAAGTCAATCTTATTCGTTACCGAGGCATATGTACACAGGTCATTATATAGAGGTTACGTACAAACCCTAATGACTAAGGCATGTACAATTACACAATGGTACCTACACTTTAACAATAGTTACTGAAGCGGACGGGAATCTGCGGGTGATGCGGAGATAGAGATCTCGAGCAGAGAAGGGGAAGATGAGCTTCTTATTTTCTGATCTAAAATCTCATTTTTGGGATAGACCAATTAAAGAGGGAGGTAGAGGAGCCATTCCCGAACGTTGCACTTTTTTTTCCCCAAGGTATCCACGAGATTGGTAAATAAGCAGGATACGAAATATAACTACAAGACCTTTGCAGGTCAAATCACAAAAAATAAATAAGGAAGGAGCGTCGGACGATCCAATGACAAGAGAGCTTTTTTTGTCACGATATGGGCAGCCCTAATGTACTTTTGTTTTCACACTGTAATTAATTAGTTACACCACCTAGCACGGGACTGCAAGAATTAGGAATGTCAATAAAGCAACATTGTCAATCAGATTTAGCCTGTTGGTCCGACCGATCGAGTAAGTATGTTAGAGTAAATGGTCTGAATGTTTAAATTCGATTTAATCTGGATATATGAAAAAAAAAAGAATTGTAAATTGTACTGGAGTTTATATAAAAAATGCTGAAATCGTGCATTGCTTACTAAAAATTATGTACCGCTGAACACCTTATACCGATTTAAATTCTGACGTGAGATTTTTCGTGACCTGGTTTTATTTGGAATGGGGCTCCAAGGTGGTTAGGCGTTAGGGAGACTATTCAACCCCATACAATCAACAATGAGCTGGAATCATACAAGCTGACCTGCAGACCCGGAATCATACAAGCTGACCTGGTGCATACTGACCAGCTACATTCGATGGAGCTCAACCATCCTTGCTATTGATTTTAGACTTGTAGGTTCACTGTAAATCCGACTTGCTACTGGTTTTGCAATTGAGTTCAGTGAGATAGATTACTTATGGTCTTTTATGAGGGACAATCCACAAGGGATTCAACGAAGAACATGCATCTCTGGCTAAGTACAGTGTGAATGTGAATCTTACTGACAGAGACAACATTACAGAAACTCCAGAAACCGAAGCTGTATAGCTCTTTCCTTACATTTACGAGTATCATACATACCAAACAAAGAAAACAATAGGACATGAAATGCAAAACAACTCGGAAAGAAGATCAAAGAAAAGAACCCCATTTGGCTCCCATTTCTTTCCTATCTTGAAACAGAAGATAAATAGCAACACTTTTGCTAAGGGAAGAAACAAATCTTGATCTTCTAAAATGCTTATTAAAAACATAAAAAATGCAAAGAGAAGAAGCAAAGCAGCCAAATGAAGTCTCTCTTTTTTCCTAAAAAAATTTCTGCTCAACGAAAGGATGAAACTATTTAGCCTCTTTAGGTCTGATCTCAATCCCTTCAACAAAAATCCCTCCTTTCCAATTCCCTCCTTTCACCTCAGCAAGGTACATCTCCAACTGCCCTTCTTCCACCCCTTCCTTGGTGAAGAAGTCACCCAGCTCAACCTCATACCACCCATCCCCCCTCTCCTTAGGATACACGCCGTTGCCTCGCTCCACCGCAGCAGCAGCAGCAGCAGCAGCAGCACCGCCATCGCCGTGGTCGATCTCCTCATAAGCCGCTGGAGCAGGGGAATGGAATCCCATTATCACACGGCTGCGACCCGGGCTGAACCGCCTGAACCCACCCAACCGCCTTGTATCACCCACAAGGGGCACTACCTGCTGGAGCCTCTTCCTCTTCACCATCCCCGCATCAAGGTAAACCGATCGGGTCATCTTCTCACTGCCCGACAGCCCTACCGAGACCTCGACGGGCTGGTAGTCGAACCCGTAGCCCCCCTGGGGCGACCTGAACACAAGATAAGCGGTGTACAATGTCGATGGCGACAGCATCGTTGTTGGAATTGTGCCCTTCAATTCCAGCCAGCATACCCCAACCAGCTCAGCAACTTGCCCAAATCTGAAAATCATGGGGGGAAATCCCGGAAATTACTTCACTAGTGTCCCTCCCTAAATTCAAACACAATCAGGGGACAGGACAATAGTTGCAGAAGAATGAATGAGAGAAAGGGCAAACCTGGAATCGGGGTCGGGAACCCATTTCCAGTATCGAGGGGTATCTCCCCATATAATGTGGAGGTCCCTGGAGGAGATCATGTAGCATTTCTTCCCGGTTCGTTTGTCCAGCGAGAAGCTCTGGCAGAAAATTGGACGGAATTAGGTCTGGAAAGCCCTCGAAAATTGGAAGGGAAAGAAGTAGTGATATCAATTATTCACCTTCCGGCCGCCATCGATGAGGATGGGGCGTTCGCATAGACGGAGGAAGAGATCCTTCTTGTTGGAGGCGAAGTCGGGATCGGAGGCGTTGGTGGTTCGGGAGAGAATGGAGAGGATGTCCGGGGGGAGAAATCGGTCCCAGACGGTGTCGGAGAGGGAAGCGGACCAGAAAGTGGCGGAGACGAGGGCGAGGCGGCAGGATTCGCGCGGACCCGTGAAGGAGAGGACGTTGGCGATGAGGTCTTGAGGGAGGTCGTTCATGTCGAGGCGCGAAGGCGGGGCGGAACGGGGGAGCCGTTTGACGGTCTGCATATTTGGGATTTTGGATGAAGGAAGGGTTGAGAGAGAATATCGGTTGGCGCGCCGAATTTGGCGTTTAACGGCTGGTTGACGAGTGGGTTTATATAGGGTGATAGGAACAGGGGAAGCTTAGCGGTGAAGGATATGTGTTGCATCGGATCGGATAAAGAAGGGGAGGCGAGAGAGGGAGAGAGAGAGAAGGGAGCGCCGAAAAGTCGCATCGCAGGTAGGGATGGCAATGAGTCGAGTTGGGTCGAGTTTGAAAAAAACTCGATGTAAAATTTATTGGGTTTGAAAAACTCAAACCCAACCCAATCCGCTGGATATCCACGTGTTTATGGGTATCCACGGATTTTTGTCGTAAAAAATTTACAATAACAAGTTTCTATCAAAATTAAATTCAAATATCAATCTCTCAATACAAATTATCCATATTTAAAACACAATTCTAGAAAATTCAAGCAAATCACAAATAAACTCAAGAAAATTGAAACAAATCACAAATTATCCATAAATAACATGATTAATTGAAAGCTTCTTCCTTTCAATTAAGTTTTTTCAACATCAACTTCATTCTACACAATTAGAAAAAAAAAATAGACATGTCTCCACATACATAAGTAAGATTAGTTGTTTAGAATATTAAATATACCAAGGAAATTAATTATATGGGTGTAGGCGGGTACCCATGGTCGGGTTTATCTAACCCAAACCCAACTCAATCCAGTGAATAATGAACGAGTTAAAACCCAAATCCGATTCAAAACTCGTCAACACGGATTTTACCCACGTTGATCGGATTGGATCGGGGTGGGTACACATGAGTTCGGGTTTTGTTCCATCCCTAATAGCATGGGAAATAACTGCATCTGTGTCACTAAAATGGGATCCCTCCGTGTAAAGGGGAGGGAAAGGGTTGGAATGGTTCCCCCACCGCCTCTCTTTAGTCTTACAGTTGACCAGAGACAGAGAGAGGAGTTTGCCTGCTTAATAATATCGCTGCTGCGGTGTTGGGGAACGTGGGGAAACTGTGTGTTTGGGCCTTGGTTGTGATGTGATGTGGGCCTGAAACTCGGATTTTCTTTGTATTCTCTTGTGGAGTTGTGGTTCTATGTTCCATTGAATTTGATCCAATTTTGGTCTCTTTTTTCTTGTGCCATGAGTTCACTTGTGAGTTGTGAATTTTTATATGGGCGGTGGGTCGTGTTTGGGCCGGCACGGCACGGGCATGCTTCGGGCTCATTTATTTTGTGTCGTGCTTGGCACGGCCATTTAGTTTTCGTGTCGTGCCATGCAAGTCCATTTGTTAATTTTGCTAGGCCTGGCCCAGACCCGGGCACGGTTCGAATCATGTCGTGCCTATTCGTGCTCGTGCCATGCTCGTATTTGTGTTTAATGAAAAGGACGAAACAAAATAGAGAATTAAAAAGAAGGTGAAAATTGGATGAGGGAAGATAATATTAACCGATAATGTTTGAGATAAGTAACCCGGGGGGGGGGGGGGGGGGGAATTGGAAGTATAGCGAGTGTGATTTGGCTTTGTTTAATTCTTTGTCCATTTTTATTTATGTTAGTTATTACGTATATATCATTATGACACTTCTAACAACAACAAATAATTATTTTTCTACTTGTGTTTTGTAATATTTGAACCTAAAATTCTTTTTATATTTATTTTCTATCAAATAAATATTATTTCTATGCCATGTCCGTTCTTATACTGAATAAAGTCTCGAAAATATTAGGCCCGACACGACCCACTTGTATACCGTGCTCGTGCCCGTGCCCATGAAGTTTAGGCCCGGCACGACCCATAAATCATTCGTGCTCGTGCCGGGCTGACCCATTTATTTCGTGCCGTGCTAGCCTGTGGGCGGCACGGCCCGGTGCCCACGTACAGTTGTGATTCACTCGCAAGCAAGGAGGGTCTACCCGCGGGTGGACTCTGGCCCAGTGAGAAAAACGGGCTGCACGCAACCGTCGGATCGACCGCTATAAGGTATCAGGTTGAAGATCAAACTGTATAATTTTTTTTCCTTTGGTTTGCGAAATTCACCTATATTTCGAATTTTCTTTTCGCTTAACTCAATCTCTTGAATCCTTAGTTGAACATTTGAATACTTATGTTATATAAGTGTGTGTAAATTTTCACTATATGTTGTATCTAAGTACGAAATGTTACTTTGGTGTAATGTTATATGTTATTACTCTTATGTAGATGAGATTTGATATAATTTATCAGGATAAGTACAATGTAATAACTATTTCCGTATTTTCGAGGTTAAAATGGGCTAAAACAGGTGACTCATTAACCCTTGACCCACTAGCTCGATCGGGTCCGGGTCAACTCGCGGGTTAACAACCTTGCTCACAAGTGATGAGGGTCGAGAAACATAGATTCCCTGCTAATCCTGATTTTATAACAACCGTAAGATGTCATGTGAAATTAGAGATGACAATTTCGATCTGACCCGTTTTACCAGACTTGTTTGACCTGTTTTTTTTTTTTTTGGGGGGGGGGGGGCGTGGTGGGCATGGGTACTCTCATCGACCTGACCCGCCCCATTCTCGACCCGTTGTTGGCTAAATTACATGCAATCTTAGTCAAAATACAAATACTTAGAATTTTTCTTTTATTATAATCTAATTTAACTATAATAAAGTTGTAAATTAGTGAAAATCCCAATTTCTCTAATAATTTAACTACATTTATCATAATATTGTTTGTTTTCTTTGTCTTATAATTAAAATAACGAATATTTCTAATGTTTTTCATATAAATTGCCTACCCATTACATCGACCTGCCCCGACCTGCGACCCGTGATAACTTCCCCGATCTGGACCTTTCCTGCCATGAGGCTGGTCTGGATACCAAGAAACCCGCCCCGGAACTGCTATGTGAAATCAACGGCGGGGGAGAACTTAGTCCCTGGTCGCCGGAAAACCTGAAATTTCCCGGTCTCTCGTCTCTCGAGTGAAAAAAAAAAAAAAACACCACTGCTCATCACTGGGCCACTATCTCCACCTCTCGTTCCCTCGCCGGCCGCCGGGACTGCAGCACTCCGCCTCCGCTTCCTCTTGTGCACGTTTCCACCAAACTTCCTCTACAGGTACCTTCTCCCCTAGCTCTATATCCACTAGTGAAAGATTGCTATGGTCTTTCCCATGGGCTTTTGACGATTCTTCTTAGAGAGTATATTGTCTTTGAAACAGACAAGGTGCAAGCAAACATGGGCGTGATTCAAGATGGCAGAGTGGCGGGAACACTGCCCAGCAATGAGGTCTTTGCTGTTCACTACCCTGGCTATCCTTCTTCAACTTCTCGCGCCATCCAAACTCTGGGTGGAACTAAAGCAATTGTGGAGGTAAACAAGCCTCTCCACCCTCTCTGAAAATTCCAATTGCTTCAACTTCTCTCTTTTGTCTGAATGATTTGTGCACAGGCTCGAACTTCGAAATCGAACAATTTGGAGCTCTATTTTCGTCCAGAGGATCCCAACTCCCGTCCTATTTCAGGAGAGCTTGGTCCTTGTAGTGGCTTGCTGCTAAAAATTTCCAAAACCCAATCACTCTCCCAGAATGCAAAATGTTCAACTAGTGCTGACAATGGTCGGAATGAAGTGGCAGATGAAGTGAAAGTTAACGCTGAGATTGTTGCTCGGGTCACCGAAGCTTATCGCTTTGAAGGTTGGTTAGAATTTGCTAGAAATAAGATAAAGATTGCAAATTTGGGAAAACCATGATATCAGTTTGTGTAGCTGTTTTAAAACTCTTTGCCCTCTTTAATTCCTGTAAGGAATGGCGGACTATCAACATGTAGTGGCTGGGCATGCTGACAGAGCACGCACGACAAAAAGGAGCTGGACTGAAATGGATCAAACACATTTTGGTAACCAGTGCTTCTTATAACTGGAAAATTTATGCTCTCTCCTTTGGTTACGCTGGATATTGCTTTTTCCTTCCATTATACTATTGGGAGGTATCATTGGATTGTGGTGTATTGTTTTGTCTAGACAGGGTTGGTCTCGTGGATTTAGATCAAGAGGATGTAATGATTTTGCCCCCGCCATTTTTTTCAGCCAAAGATACTCCTAGTAATGTAGTGTAAGCCTCACAATTCTTTGTCCTTTTCTTGTACAGTATCTTGTTAAACAGCTAGTATAGTGAGGTTGTTTGAGTGTAAATTGCACATTCTGTCTTGGAGAATACAATGGGTTTGCAACAGTCTTTGGCAAAAAGAAGTTGATTGAGTTACTCCCTTGCTTAGTCAAATGCAAAAACTAGTTACTGCAATAGATTATTTCACAAGAAGAGAATAATTATAGTTGAAAATAATGAGGGAACTAGCTGTCAAGGGCTTGTCTTTTAGCTTTTGAGGTTCTCATTCTTTTTCGCTTTCTTATGATTTCTGTGTAGAATTAAGAGCTTAAAGCATAACTAGAATCTATGACAAGAGATGTGCATAGCTTTAGTAGTTTTAGGCTTTCCTGATAAGGGTAGTTTGATCAGATGGACCATAAGGGCTAGGTTTGGGGGGATCTCTAATTGATTACCTGTGTTTGATATTTCTGCAATTTCTCATTGTTTGTCTCAGTTTTGGTTGTTTCCGCATTTCTCAGGTTGAAACCATCAACCATGACAAGTTCAAAGAAGAAACAGGAGGAAGCAGTTGAAAATTATGTAGAGGTAAACAAGTAATTCTAGCTTTCTAAAGTACATGATTCATGCAGCAAAAACGTATCTTAGTTTAGAGTTTTTTCAACAATTGATTCTACTGGATGAAAGAATAGGTAACTTGTCTTTATCGAACCTTCACTCAGGACCTTCCGTGACGTTTGTGAGAAGATTGAATTTATTTTGTGAAGCTAATAGCTATCTTTCTCTTCTTATGCAGATGAATCTGGAGCCTGCCCTCGCTATTGATTTTAACATAAAAGATATCCTGATTGTTTCCGTGCTTCTAAATCTTTTTTATTTTGCTTTCTTTAAGTTATATGCTTTTTGGTTGATGATACTTGATGACTCACTTTGGTAAGGCCAACTACCTTGGTCTAAACACTAAAGTTGTGGATAACATCCTTCTTCATGTATGAGAAAGAAATATCTACTCTTAGGCTCACACAGCGTGTTGCTGCATTGTGTTTTTCCTGTCCAAAGGTTCTTTGTTAATTAGATTCAGAGATTGTGTCACAATCACTAAAAGTTTCTAAGCTCCAGTTTCCTTCAAAATGTACTAGAGTCTCTGGTTAAAAGCAAGGCAATGTGAGCTATTCATATATCACGACTTGAAATGGTGACTACCTGGCTAGATCACTGCAAAAATTAGTCTTCAAAGGTTAAATTACCTTCTGATTGAGAATAGACTATTTACTCTTGTACATCTGTTATTATCTTGGACTGTTCTGTTTGTTATTACTTCTATTTTTCTGTTCATATTAGTACTGTTTCATTCTTCTAGTCTAAAACTTTCACTTGGGTTTGTGTGCGTTATCATCTATATGCAGATACTCATTTTTGTGGTAAGCCTGATGTTATTATTGGACTTGGTTCTTCAGTTGTGAAGTCCTATGTTTGACAAATCTCAACATCTATTCTTTACAATCTTGTGATTGTCTCTTCCAGTTCTACTTAACAAGCCTTACAGATACCCAAGAAAATAAATTGGGAAGAATATGTAGCTCATAACTCAAGGATGCAGGAGGCACTGCTGGCTTTATCTGAGTTGTTTGAGGAGCGACCGATATGGCCTAAAGAGTCTCTCGTGCAGCGGTTACTTGAGAAGGATCTACATTTTAATCACCAATCACTCAAAAGGTATTCTACAGGACAAAATCCATCCTACTTAATTAACTGCATTTGTTGTGTGCTTGAAGCCTCTACTTTTACCAATGTCTCGCAGTGTTAATTAATCTTCATTTTGATCTTGCAGACTTCTAATAATGGTGGCATACTACTTTTTAGGTGGACCATTCCGCATGTTTTGGATCCGAAAAGGATATGATCCTCGTCAAGATTCTGCATCTTGCATGTAAGAGCTATGCACCTGCTTTGGTGATCTTTATTTATTCTTCTCTCTTTGTGTTTTTGCTCTTGAAGTCTCACTGGTGAATTTTAAAAAAGAACATGGGCATGAATGCCCTTAACAATTGCAGGGTGTCTTCTTTTGATTGATAGTGCAAGAAGTTCAGAGTTTGCCATTTCATACTTTCTGTATGTTCTAACTTGTGGACTTAACAGTATAGTATGGTTTATGTTGACCTGATCATACATGCTGAAATTATTTGTTGGTCCTAGTTTATCATGTGTATCAAGGGAAATACAGCCCAAGCAAATTTTTTAGTAATCTTCGTCAGATAATATTTTCACTACTCAAGATCCAAGAATAAATTTTCATAGGCTTCATTTGCTCTTGTTTGTCATTGATGGCCAAAAGAAAAGCTCCCCATCTGGTTGAATGCAGAAGGCGTTTCTTATCTATTGTTCGTATAAGCTGGAAGCTGATTTCCGATGCCTTTTGTTTTTGTGGCAGCTATCAAAGAGTTGATTTTCGAGTCCCACCTGCACTTAGACGTTATTGTGAAATTTATGCTGCTAAAGGGTAATTTCTTTACCTTCACACCTTTCCTATCGAGTACAGTACCAATTTGCTGGTATATACAGCTAGATATTTGTCAAGATTATGCTTTAAAAATAGATAACTGTTCTTAAGTTTTACTAAAAGTGAAGAAAATGCATTTGGTATGGTGTGAGAAAAGGTAGTGTTGAGGAGATGTAAGATATTTTTTTAGTAATAAAGAAGTTATAAATGAGACTTTAGATCGCTTTTTTAATTATAGAGAAGAATGTGGATTTTGGAAATGACTTAATTAAGTACATCCTGAATAATACATTCTTAGCGCAAAGGGAAAACATACCTCTTGGCTAGAACTAATTAACAATTTTGGGATAGTAGCTGATCTCAGTTGCTGAAGAGTTCTCTAAATTTTTCTTAGCAGTTGGACGGTGGTCTTCCCTAGTCTATTATGCTAGAGCACAGGATGTTGTGAGCCTGGGGACTTTTTTTATTAGGTTCTTTGAAGCCTCAACTTGGTGCTCTTACTGGTCTTGCTTACATGTTATTTTGCGTGCAGTTTAAAACAGAGATGGAAGGATTTATGCAAGTTTGAAGCTTTTCCTTACAAATGCCACACATCGCTCCAACTCTTTGAACTTGTTGATGATTACATTCAAGAAGAGATAAAGAAACCACCCAAGCAGACGACTTGCACTGTGAGTCTGTTGTGAACTTCTGTGTGTGTATGTGTATGTAATCTACTTATTACAGCATACTATCATGTACTTGGCCTACAAAACAAGTTTTAGTTTTGCAGCATTTTCCAATGGCATCAGCATTGTGTAGAGGTTGCCAGTCATTTTTAGAACTTAGCCAGTGTAGATGATACGAACTGGCTCGTTCAGACTAAAACTCAACTTGTGAACCTTACACGATACTCTCGCCAAATGACACAACCTTCCTAATTTTAGTTTTAGTTCCCGATATATCCTTTTCCCCTTTATTCTATGATGTATATGACTGCCTTTGTTTTCATTCTGTTTATGGCTTCGTAGTTTGTCGTTGTGCATTTGGGTATTTTAGAACTCACCATCTTCACTTAAGCAGTATGGATCAGGGTGGTTCTCTCAGCAGGAGCATGATACCCTAAAATTTCGTGTGATGGTAAGATTCCTGTCAGTATATCCACAACCTGGTGCACAAAAATTACACAAGGCTGCTTCCGAATATTTTGAAAAGTCAAAGAAGATGTGTGCCTTAAAACAGTGTCAAAAGGAAGACCAACAGACTCACACAGGTACAGATAGAAAACTGCTGCTACTGTCTTCTATTTGGTTCTCAATTCTCAAATTGCCTTCCATTTAACTACATTTATCATAGCTTATCCGTCATGTATAGCTAAATGGATTTCCCTTTGAAATAATATCCAACATCAACCCTACAATAATCTGAAGGATTCATGACATGCCTTTGTAGATGATAATTTGGACGAAAATCAGCACGAGATGGAGGATGTTGCTACTGATAATCTTGTTGCTGATGATGATGAAGAAGAGGAGATCGATGCATACGACGCTTTGGATTTGGTAAACCAAAATTGTTCGATGTATATTTTTGTTAGCTATTTTTTCTAATTATATGATATTATTTGAATTTGTTTCTTACTCTATTCATAGGCTGAGGAAGATGACGAATTCTCGCTGCATTCAGATTCATGTATCCTTTTTTACCATGACTCTGCTGTTCTACTATCGAAAATATCGAATGAGCAGTGCTGATATGACTAGTTACATTTCGCCCACCTCCTCTGGAGATCTACCATTTACCTGGGCTACTAAATAATTTTCTGTTCTCTGAGCTTTGGCTTCTATGGTGTTTTCCTATACTTTGTCCTAGATTTGGGTACTGGGAGCAACTCAAGAAGCTATCTTCAAGATCTCTTTGATAGCTTTCCGGCAACTGAAGTTGAAGGTGGGAAAATACATGACGATGCTGACAGCAGTGATGGTGAATATCAAATACTCGAGCAAGATGACGACAATTACTCCGACGACGATTATGAATGAAGGCATTTTTACTGAATGAACTCATTTACAGTCTCATAGTGGTTGGTAGTTGATGAATGCCAGGACATAGTGGTAGCCGTAGTTAATTTCTGTGTGCATGAGAGGCTAATTGGATAAATGGTGCTATGAAGTGGCCATTGCCAAACCTATTTGTTTTAATAGATTCACCTCAATTTTGTTGAACGATTGTGATGTTATTTAAGTTTAAAGTTCCAGATAGTAACTATAGATTGCATTTTACCTACTATCCTTTGGACTTCATTGGATCTACAATTCTATATCGATCTCAATCTGAATTGATTTTACTTCTAACAAGCATCTTAATCCATTCCTAATGTTCCAAATTAACCCTTTTATCTCAATCCATTGATCAGGTTTACTATAGTTTACTTTTTACATCCCGTTGACATTTCCTTGTGCCACAAGTTCTTTATTCCGGGATAATGGTCACCTTAACTATTTATTGATTCCTGTAATTATCTTCCATGTTTTTGGATCCTTCCTGACCTAATCTAGTTCTTTAGAAATTGTCGTTAGACTTAGCGGTACTGCTACACCACTGTAGTTAGTTGCGACTTACGGGTTTTCGATAGTTAGACACCTTATAGTAAGAAAATTGCAAAAATGAAACCATTCATGTTGAACAACATTGAGCAATTACTCAAGTCCGCCAACGGGTGAAGGATGGAGTCCAACTTACTTAATAGTTATTACCCTGATTAATAAATGTTACTAATTAATATTATTATTACTCAAAGTCATACTGTGAATTTGTCAGTCAATAAACCTGACAAGTTACATTCCTTGATTCAATTTACTGCCAAAATCCAAAACTTCGGCTAACTTGAATAGTACGATGGTAAAAGAATAAAAGGAAGACTGTACACAGAAAAGAGGAGGAAGAAGCTAAGAGCATTTATTTGTGTACTTTCATTTGCTGTCTATATCTATAAACACATAAGCGAAAAAAGAACTGTGTGGCCTTTCCTTCCAATCTACAGATATACTACGCGATCTTGTTTGGTCCCGGGAGCGACGAGTTAGAATGGTGAGCTCGCTTTTCGCTTAATCAACTGGAACCTCAACCTCCATTTTTAAGCCTGAATTCCCAAATACCTGCAACAGTAGTATGTAAAGTAAAGTAGTCACCAGTTCAAGTAGGAACCACATAGTGCAGATTCATGCAATGGCAAGTTTCGAGCTTTACGAAGACAAGAAACCTTTGTGCCTGTCAAGATACACAAGTGGGTAAGATATATACTAAGGTGACACACCTTAATGAAGTCATCTAGCAAGAGGTAACATTCCTTTGTGTAACCTGCCTCTTTTAGAACTTGAGTCAGGACTTGCTGCAAAAAACACAAACACCAGAAGGTAGAAAGAAGCCTGCTCAATACGCTGTGGAAATGCTTAAAGAAATAGGCAGACTATACAATCAAGCTAATCTCTGCTAGCTACGTTATCAAGGTTCCAGAGTAAATCATGAACGACTACAATCATCAAACTATACGCTAATGTAAGATATTGCTAAAAGTTCCTGCGAGTTCAAAGTAGCATTGTGAGGATGAAATGATACAGAAAGGACCGTAGCCGTACCTCTCTTTGCTCATCTGATATGAATGAACCAGATAAATCACGAAGAACGTTTAGTATGTCGTTGAAAGAGACTTTTCCATTTCCATCGGAGTCATATACTTTGAAAATCACTGAGGCAAGAGAGATTTCACAATTCATCAAAAGTGAGAATGGTAGAATAAATGTATGTTATTGGATGTTTCCAGCCTAAACTGTTACGTTATAGGATTAATTTTAGCAGAACAAACAAATTACCCAAAACTTTTGACATATAAATTACTGTCCAAGGAATCAAATACATACAAGCTATTTTCTGTTCTGTAGTTGCTTTCGAACTAAATGCGGATAAGAAAGCTACAAAGTCCTTAAAGTTCAAGCCGTCCACCATTTTGAGCAGGCGCTGCATGAATGAAATCCCCATGTTATATATAGTTACGGCAGCACTAGAAAGCTGCAGAAACTGAAGACATATGACAAGCATTCAGGGAAAACTCATGGATGGAGAGATTACCTGAGAAAGTGGATTCATGGCAAACTCAGGCACCGATAAGAATTCATCCGCCGAGATAAATCCTTTCGCATTGCGATCCAGTTGGCAGAATCTTTGATACAATGACACTATTTCTTGTTGGGAGACTGAAGTTGGCAGTTGAAAGTAGATGTCAGATTGAACATAACAGGGGAAAACAAAAACAAGCCTAACTGGTGCAGAATTGTTGGACAGGACGAAGAAAAGCAGCCAACTTACAGAGGTTGTGACAATGCTCCTGAACTTCTTCTATATCATATTGAGTTAGCATAGACGAGGCGCTCCCCATTTTTCGGATATCTGGTTAACGAAGAAGCTCACTAACTCGAGCACCCACAAATTACCTGTAATCAGTATTTCAAAGAATGATTAACAAGTGATTGACAATGGACAATCAGAGACTTCTCCTAAAGCAGAACAAATGAACAGTAGCAGTAATCAGAAGTTCAATTTCAAGATTTTGACGATTTCCCAACACAAATCAAAACCAACCCAGTCGACATTGTTTCCCAAAACCAGGAACTGAAAACAAAGATAGAATACCCAGAAATTTTCCCTGGAACCAAACAGAAGATAGAGAGAGTGGCAGTGAGAGAGACCTGAGGCTGGGGACGAGGCAGGGAGAGGAATAAGGTGGGGCGGGATTTATCATGGTCTACGTAAGGCACGAGGAAAGGCGCAGTAGTTACCTCGCCATTATCGACGGTAGAATTGGCGCAGCTGCGAGCGAGACGATATTAGTTTGTCCTACTGATCCGATTACGCCGATATTAGTGGTCAGGTTCTTGCTCCAAATTTGGCACCACCTGCTTCCCTACCAGAACACACCAAAACTATATATTTCAGTCTTAAGAATAGAACATGCTAGAGATAAAGCGCCTTCTTCGTTTGCAACCTTGGGAGTATTGATTAAGATTACATTCTTGTAAAATTAAAATTAATGAGATTACATTCTTGTAAAATTTCAAAAAATTTTCAAACAAGATATTGTTGGCTTTGGATCCAGATCCTCATTGGCCTTGGAGTACATAACAAAGTGACTTCTCATAAGGTCACCCATCCTTGCAGTGCTCTACAACGAGCACGTTGAGGTTTGCCTCACCATCGTTCAAGAGAGACGCGGAAAGGTTCTGATACCACTTGTAACATCCCAAACCTTTTCACGACAAGATATTGTCTGCTTTGTGCCCAGACCCTCACATATTTTGCCTTGTGGTGCATATCAAAGTGACTTCCAATAAGGTCATCCATCCTCATAGTGTCCCACACTCATCACATTTAACTTCGAAGTTCTCACAAGAACTCCTCAATTTCACCTCAGAATGCGTATTGTGAGCTAGCGTCGGTTTCATACTTATGAACTATGGATCCCTACCGTGCTTTGTCGATGTGGGATTCGCCCAAGGTGTTACATTTGTTGTATTAAACAAAATGTGTGTTTGTCATGTAACAATAAGATAGGATGTTCGATGAATGCGACTAAGAGACTGGCAAATGGCAGCGATTGCTTCAGAATTCGGGGATAGGTTAAGGAGGATTCAATGATTTCATAGGATTTTGTCATGAGACCTACCTCAAATAAGATTGAACAAACATGTATTTATTTTACAAAATCATGTGAAACCAAATGCTATATTAAGAGTCAAGATTAAAAAGATTTGATTATGAATATCCTTGTCGTATCAAACTTTATCCAGATGATGATCCGCCATTTGAAATTGAGGTGGAGTTATGTAACTTGCCTTTGATATGTAGTCATAGTCAAGTATTTGAGCATGATTGTGATAGGTTGGCTAGGAGCAATAAGAGATGGGTGCGGAAAGATAAAGTAGAGGAAGGAGTAGTAGAGGATGTGGTGTAGGTTGAGAATGGGGTTGTAGTTGTGGCGGAGCAAAGGCCTGATATGGAGAATGAAGTAAGGGGGTAGTGCAAGATGAATCTGTGGAGTCTATAAAGGATTACAAAGCTGTTATTCCTACATCAATTGGGAGCTCCATTGTAGTTTTGCAGAGGGGTTGGTAAACGATAATCCGTCCAGAACTGGTGCAGGAGGCGGTTGGAGATATGTTATCAGACAAGCTTGAGAGCTTATCTTCTCAGCCCGCTTCGGTAGGAAAGACAGTAAATTGGGATTACTATGATTTCAAATGCTTTTGTTGTATTGGAAAAGAAGATGCATGGATCTTCTACTTCTGAAACATAGAAGCAAGACACTCCTAAAGTGTCTTAAAAGTGTAAAGTAGCACTGTTTATTACGTAGAATATTAGAGTATTAAGGGCTCTTAAAAGTGTAAAGTAGCACTGTTTATTATAATAATATAGATATAGTACATATTACGAAAGTCTAGGATAAAGGAAAATGGATTAAAAAAAGTTGGTGAAAGGGAGGTTTCCTTACTGGGAACCAGAAAGGGTATACAATAATAATGAGTTGGGGAAGATTTGGTTATTGCGGAGAAAAGATGTACAGCTGCGGGTTCTGTTTAGTTATATATTCATGAAATGGTAGGGGGCCTTTCTTTTTCAGCTTTGTCAATGGATTGGATAATGATGAAAGTAGGAGTAAATTGTTTGATGATATTCATGGTCATCAGCAGGGCTGGAAATCGGTACGGTATCGGTATTCCAATATCAAATATCGAAATCCCAAATACCGAATTACACTCTAGAACCAATCCCAATCCCTAAATAATTTCGGTATCCCAATCTCAACCCCATTCCCTAAATATTTCGGTATCCCAATCGGTACTTCGGTATCCCTATCGGTATTATCGAATACGAACTTAATTACCTTTACGATTAATAATTAAATATATAAATTAGATTTGATTGTTTAATATAGAACAAAGAGACTAAACAAAGAGTTTTGGATTTGGCTAGAGCTAGGATATGGATAAGGAGAATGAAGTAGAGGTGACATCTCAAGTTTTTGTCATTGGTAATTTTTAATTTGACGAATTGGAGGCTGAGAGAAGACTAATACTAGTGTTTGCTTTTTGGTGTTTTGAGGGTAGTGTAGTAGTGAATGAGAGAGTCTTGTTGAGAGGATAAAATACTAACTATCTTATATTTCGGTATTGTTCGGTATATATCGATCCCAATCCTGTAATCTCTAATACCGAATAACAATTTAAATTGAATTCCAATACCAATCCCAATACCAAGAAATAATACATGTGTTCGGTAATACCAAATATAGACAAATTCGGTACGGTATTTGGTATATCCCAAATACCGGTACCAAACTTCCAGCCCTAGTCATCAGGGTACTTAGAGTCCGTGGCTCATTTTGGGAGACTTCAATGTCATCATGGATCCAAAGGAAGTTTCTAACTCGCTGGACTAGTATGGTTGAGTTTAATAAATGGATACTTGAAGTAGAGGAACATATTACTGAAGGGTTGTGGTTTACTTGGTTAAATAAATAAGATGCCTAGAAATGAGGTAAGGTTGTTGGAGCCCATGATGTCTGATCATTGTGCGATTTTTGTTAACACTGATATTGCTATGAAGTCACTTCCTAAACCATTTAAGCCTTTCCAGATTTTGGGCTCATAATCCTCAATTTCTAAACTTGGTTCGAGAGGCCTAGGAGCAGGAGGTAGTTGGTTCTCCATTAGTGAGGGTGTGTAAGGAATTGAGATTTCTGAAGCGACTACTTCGCAAGTTAAGTAGAGAAGTGTCTACTGATATTAGAGGTCAAGTACAAATGTAGAGGATAAGAGAATGATTGCAGTAGCTTTCACAAAAATTTTGTTAGGGCAAGTTGATCCCTGTGTTTGTTCCGAGGATGAGAATTATTATGAGAAAAAGATTAATTACTGAGCAGGTTGAACATCTGTATGACCCTAATACAGGGGAGGAAGTCAGAGATGTGATTTTTGGTTTGACTGTTGACAAAAGCCTGGGGCTTTGGGGTTCCCTGCTTGCTTCTTCCATCTCACATGGGATATATTTGAGAAAGAGATTAAATAACCTATTCAATTTTGCTTTGATCATTACCTTCTGCCGAGAGAAGTAAATTCTACTATCCTAACTCTTGACCCTAAGATATCAAACCCTGAGGATTTGAAGAACTTTGTACCAGTATTTTGATGTGTCAATGTCACCCTATCAATGCATCCTTAGTGATTTAAATAACATTTCATATGAAATTCGTAATTATCCAGATAATGAACTTATGATAGATCTTGAGTATGTTTATGTACTATTTGATACTTTTTGGTGTCGTTGTATACTTTTCAAGGATATAATGCACTCAAGACGAATATGGATCACCAAGAGACCCAATGGATCAGAATAAGGTTGAGGAACAAGCTCATGGGCTCAAACGAAGATGGATTTTGACACCAAAAGCTCAAGTTATGGACCATATGGTAGTATTTTGAAGAGAAGACTGTTCAAACGAAGTCCAAATTAGCTGAAATTTCAAGACCAGGTCCATGAGCCCAAGAGGAAGTCTCCCACAAAAAAATGGCTGATTTGGAGAAGAAATCTGACTAGCGGGTACAACTGCTGTGGGGCCGCCGCTGATGCCCTAGCTTCCAGAAGACTTCCTCAACAAGCTACTTCGTCCACAAGTTGAAGGAACCCAACTTTAAGTGGATAAGGAAGGTTTTGGACAAATTTAGGATAAAAAGACTAGAAAATCCCCATTTGTAACTAGTATAAATAGGAGGCTATGCTATAGCTTTTATACACATATTTAACCAGCACTCTGCCCCCAGGGGAACGAGTTAGAAATCTATAGAGAGGAGCAAAGCCTTGTTGGAGCTCGACGAGTAGTCTTCACCATAGGTGCATGTATCTTTGGTGATGTCTTCCTATTCTCTTATGCATAGCTAGCTCAAAATTGTTTAGGGATGTGAATCTAAGATGCTTCATGTATTAATTTTGATGATTCAATGATGATGCATATTGTGATTCAATGTCTTTACCATCGATGCTTGAGTTGATTTATGCTTGTATAATCTATTATTCATTCATTTGATGCTTTAGTTTTTGAATGCTCTAGTGAGTCTATGCATGTGACTTCTCTTATATGCTACTATAGTATTGTTTATACTACTATCATGGGAGACCAAGAAACTAATCTCGTATAGTAGACATCTTCTTAGGTGTTTATAGGAGGACTAGCTACCTTTCTATGCATGAATAAATATGATGTTTGATAATATAGATCATTGATGCTATAGACCATAGATTATGGCTCGTATAGGCCCACACTTAATCATGTCCTATTTTGACTGCCTTGTCCTTTATTGATTAGGTAATGTCATGAAGAAAAAGCACACATTTGGATATTTGGGGGCCCTTTTCAGTTGTGAAACATAGACAATCTGTCATGACTTGGATGACCTAGTCTCCAATGCCAGAGATCAAGATCTTGAGTTTGGAAATTGAAAGTAGAGGTTGCTTGATAGTGTGTAGTTGATGAAGGTGGATAGAATGGGCTTGGAGAAAGAACCAGTTGATAAAGACCTCTACACTCTCTTGCAAAACCAATCCTCTTCTTGGTTAGAAGGTCCTGAATGTCACAATGATTAGATTGAAAGTGTAAGGAAAGGGGATGATCTCGAGTAAGCTTACTAACTAAGATGAGGTTGAAAGTGAAAGAGGGTACTAAGAGCACATCATATAAACTCAATCCTGAAGGCAAAGTTACTATTCCTATGCAAGAGGCTATGACCTTAGTTCTATTTGGTAGGAAAACAAATGTGTCTGTGACTGGTTGATAAGAAGTAAACATGTTGGTAGAATAAGCTATATGATCACATGCTCTTGTGTCTAAGATCCACAAGTTCCAATCATTGGTCTTATGAACATATGAGATGATATGTATACCTGAATGGTTTGGGATTGGAGGTGGAAAATGGGAAGCAGTAAAGGCTTGGTGGTTGACTAAAGGTGTTTGCACCAACTTGCAGCAAGGACCTGAGACAATTAATCTCTTCAGCTGTAAAGGCAAGAGGGATTTGGATCATACTTTCAGTAGTTGTACTACCTTTTGTGTGATGATCACTAGTGTTTCTCCCAGTTCCCTGTGTAACAGAGCCGACAAATCTTGTGGTGCAGGAACTGGATAGTACTGATTACTAGACTTGGAACCTTGCTTACAAGTAAATATTTCATCTTCTAGATTTTCTATTCTCATTGCATTTGGCTGTCCAAATCGCCTTTTCAACTCATCCCATAGATTTTTTGAATTGTTGTGATTTAGTACTGCTCTTCGTAGTTCCTTTGTCATCGAGTTTGGATCCAACATTATAATACTGTATTACAGGCATCCCATAAACCAAACAGATCTCAATCCCTAGGAGGTACTGGTATCGATCCATCTAGAAAACCTAGTTGGTTCTTAGTTTTCAATACCACTTGTGTTGATCTACTCCACATCGTATAGTTTGTTCCATCAAACAACTCAACAACTAAGGATTGAGCCATATTTTCATATGGGTTGAGATAGTATGGGTTACCAAATGTTATGACCTTCGTTTGCTGCTGTTGTTGTTGTCCAAAGGACCCAAATTGAACACCACTGAGTGCATTAGCTCCACTGCCAGCAGTGTTATTGGTAGTGCCTCACCCATGGCCTCCTGGTGGCGGTGTGGATTGCTCTCCTCACATTGTTGGTGCACAGTCCCAAACCCTAGATTTTGGGTTGCTCTGAAAAAGAGATTTTGGGAGAGAAGCTCAGAAGAAAACGGAGTCCTCTGTAGCTTTTATAGCTACAATGATCATTAACTGATTGTTCCAAGTGGCCTTACATGGTAGGTTATTAGTTTAAACAAACAGTAAAAATTAACGGCTAGTACATAATTGAAATGCTCTCGTTCCTCATTTCTTTCTTCAGTAAATTCTCTTCTTCAATATGGTGTCGTCCTTCATTTGAGCCTTCTTTTTTCTAATCTGAGATGCATCAGGATTGTGTCCTGCAACTTGCAACTACATTTCCATTCTGTCACCATTGGTTGGGAGTTATGTGCCTTCAATAATCGTCTCCAAAGAAAATCTGGTTTAGTCAGCAGTTGGCAAGCTTGTTTAGCCAAAAGAGTCATATTAAAATCTTTAATAAAGTGGAGTAAGTAGGATACAAAAAAATCCATTCTGTCACCATTGGTTGGGAGTTATGTGCCTTCAATAATCGTCTCCAAAGAAAATCTGGTTTAGTCACCAGTTGGCAAGCTTGTTTAGCCAAAAGAGTCATATTAAAATCTTTAATAAAGTGGAGTAAGTAGGATACAAAAAAATCCTCATCTCTTAGATGTGTCACATGTGGGTGGGAGGAGATGGCAAGATTTGGAATTTCAAAGGGGACCACCTAACATTTATGTGCAGATAAATATATATTTTTTAATCGAATGAAATTTCATTTTTACTCTACATTCACACATGCATGTTTTGTATAGCCCTATGAATGGGCATATCACTACTACTTGTTGACTATCACTTTACTAAGTACTACAAAGCAAACGAAATCGTACACTAAAAGTCAAGATGCAAATGAACTCTCTGATCATGCTGACAACGGTACTCAACTTTGACCTGAATTATGTAGCATATAATTAGATCATAAATGCTAATAATATCCTATTAGAATTGGGCCTGCCTGTTGGCCGGATGAATTACTACATCAATAGTATACACAATAATAGTAATACAACATCTTGATTATTCATGGACAAAATTTTTTATCAAAAGGAAAAACCACAACTCATACAGGAAACTAATTAAAAAAAAAGTCTTTGATGCTTGAAATTACTACAAATTTCATTTTGGAATTCATTTTGATTGCTCTGCCATCAAAAGCAGATTCTCCACACAACTTCGTCTTCATTAATGAAATTTTATATTCACCATCAATAATATTTTCCTTCTTCTCCTACATTATATTGAAAACAAAATTTTAATGATAAAAATGTTTGAAAATGTGAAACATCTTTTTTCACGATAGTAGAATTTTACCTCGTCCAAATCATAAATATTATTAATCATTCACCCTTTCTTCCCATCTTTGAAATCTCTATATCCACCATCAATAATCTCTTCCTTTATTTCAATATCGTCATTATCTCCATCACAAAATTCACTACCTTCGTGTTCTACTATTAGCATACACTTCCTTCTTCTTTAGCATTACAATGAGTGAAAAAATTTAATAGCAACATTTTTAGAATTGTGACACTTCATTTTCAATAACTTAAATTTACCAGTTCTGCCATGAACGTTGTCTGAGATTACTCTTTTTCGTTCTTCATTATCTTCAAAACTATTTAGCCACTTATAGGGTTCGCAATGTTGTAATCGGTGATCTTGATATAAAATTTAACTTCATGCTCTCAGTTTTGATAGGATAAGGAGGTGAAAGTTCTCTCATCTATCAGTATCTTTGAGTAGTTTCTCAATATACATTTCAATAGTCTAGCTCCCTCATGATACAAACAAATAAAATTAGATTAAAAATGTTTTCTACAACTCGCAGCTAGTCCCAAATCTATAAAAATAACAATTGAGATACACTATTTGGTCGAAAACTTTATGTTTTAGTGGGTACTTTGTTTTCTCTAAAATGAATGAACTTGAAGTTGAAAACAACAGAAGAGTAAGTATATTATTACCTAACTACTATTGTCTTTGATGTTGTATATTCTTATAAAGTTACTCATTGTAGTCTTCTTCAACTTTTCTTTGGAAGTTGGTCTCGCTCCGCTATCGCTCAAGCAGTGTGTGTGGGTATGTTCCTCAGTTATTAAAACAAATTATTTGGCAAGTTTCAATTAATATGTTTTTTTTAAATCATAGTTGAAACGATGAGATATAGTCTGCAGAAATTGTGTGAAATTGAAAAACTCTTAACAATAGCTCTTGTGTGCCAGCTGTAACTAAAGGAGGTTATGCACCAAAATTCCATCCTTCTTAGTTATTACTTGGTTGTTTGAAGATCGTACTGGAATACTATTTTTTTAATTAGATGATTCTCCAAAGTGAATATTTTTTAGGCATAAAATCGATAAATATAATTAATTAGCAAAGTCACCCATAACAATTTGCTTAATATAGTTCACCTTATAATAAAATAAAATAAAATAAAATAAACAAACTAAACCTATATACACGTGCAACTATCTTCCTAACTAAAAATAATAATATAATAATTAGGTTAAAAAATTCCCTATTGAATCTCTTCTCCATTATAATAATAATAATAAAATATCCAGTTTTTATTAATTAATAGGACAAAACTTCCTTCTGAAATTTATTATAGAAATTTAGAATTAAACATCTTTTAATGTAACAACATTATATAATAATCATGTGAATTAAAAATATATTGCATGAATAGAGGGATATCTATTTCTAATATATCAACTATTACACAATTCTTATTAATGGTTAAGGAACTATGTAAAAATTACGAAGCTATCATTATTTATTATATATCAATTAAACAAATATTGTACGTGAGTCTTTCGTAATGTTTAAAATATGTAAACTAATGAATTGACATTATTTATTATGTATCACTACTAAAATTGATGGTATAATTCTTTCAAAATGATTCAAACTAGACCTGGCAATCGGGTTGGGTTGGATAATTTTGGATTGTGGACTTTGGTTACGGGTCGGGTCATGTTTGGTTGGCTGATTTCGGGTCAAATATTGATCCAACCCATTCGGTTTCGGGTCGGGTTACAGGTCATTTCGCGTTATGAGCATTCTCAGAAACAATATCAAACATGCTTCATATTTTCTTAAAGAATACAAATTTTCACATATGCATGACAATAGTTTACCTAACACATGTCAATTAACATATTATCAAATCCTCCCACGCTAATGAAATGAAATACAAATTGCGCAAATTCTTCAAAAAACAATCACAAGAGTAATACTACTACAAGAAACACATGATATTTGATTATCCTTAAACTCCAAACATGTCATTCAAATCCTTGTGATTTTTTTAAACATCTCACCAATTTATGAGTGATTTTATCATATTTTAGGAGTGATATATGAAATGGAACGGGTCGACCCGCTAACCCACCCAACCCGACCCAAAAACTTACGGGTTATCAGGTTCGGGTCATTCGGATTTCGGGTTACAAAAATTTCTAGTTTTCGGGCGGTTTCGGGTCGGGTCAACGGGTCGGGTTGTAATTTGCCAGGTCTAATTCAAACATAAAGTTTAAGGTGGTTCTTTACATGAAAATTTTCAATTATTTTATATTCTAAAATTATAAAATAAAGTATTTTGATTTCGAATATAATTTGTTTATGAATGCTGCAGAGTGCAAGTCAAAAAATTAATTTATTTTATTTTAGAAACACACTAGAAGCCATGTACAAACATGTGTGTACACATGGTGGTTTCTTCTCTTCTACTATTACTTTTTATTTTCTTAATAATATTTTATTTTTTGTAATTATCTTTGGCCGATTATTTTAGATAAGAAAATGAAATATCCAAGATTGACCTCTATTGGAAAAGTATGTATATATGAATTATTAATTGAACTCTTCCCTTCCTTTGTTGAGGAAAACCAAAGAGTTTGCCTGTGGACTCTGCTGGCATGCCTCTATCTGGCAGCGGCGAATACAAGACATAGTCGAGCACTGAGCTGAATTTAAATGGAATAGTAGATACCGTAAAAAAAGGTATGTTAATTTAGCAAATCCATCAATAATAAAATCTCCATCCATACCATAATCATATTCTCTCTTATAGAAAATAGCTAAGCAATCAACGATAAATTCATTGGTCATTTTGTTGCACAAATCAGTTTTCACATATTCCATTGCTGAAAATGTTCTCTCCATTGTAGCCGTTGAAACGGGCAAGGTCAACCCTAGACGAATCAACCGACAAATCAATTTGTATTGTGTGTCCATCCCAATTTTCTCCAACTTCTTTAGTAATTTTGCAAGAGAAGAAACTTCATCTTCCTCACATGAGTTACATAATATCATAGCTCATTTTCCAAAAAATGCATCTCATAGCCTTCAAAGTCTCGAGGCTATCAAAAGACCAGAAAGAATGATAGAAACCAACTTCGTTAGGGTTTCTATATTTATTATTATAATTACTAATAGGGTAATTCTTATTATGGTTAGTAGTATTCTAGTCGAATTAGGTTTATTAGTAGAGTTTTCCTATATTCGCTATAAATATGTACTAGGCCTATTCATTCGGAATCAATAAGAAAGAATTAAGAAAAGTATCTCTTCCTAAACCCTATTCTTCTCCCAATCCCGTCTTCTCCTCTTCCTAGGCCGCCGGCCATTCTTTCTGTACTTCCCCAAATTCTCAATCTCAATCCCCAATTCTATTTCTAAATCCCTAAATCTCTATCAATTCCCAATTTCCCATCCTAACAGATAGAACCCTAGAAATAGGTTTCTATCATCTGGTATCAGAGCCTGGTTCCGAGATTGAGTTCGTCACAACTCTGAACTAGGGACGATTGCACCATAACGAGCTTGTTGCAGTTCTTCGATGCCGAGTGGTACCGGCTACAAGCGTTGCTGGAGCAGACCGTGGAACGCCGTAATCAAGAGGCATGGATGAGGGCGGCGAAGCGGGAGGAGGCGGCTAGGAAGTTGCTGCCGCAAGGCCTAGCTATCGGTGCCGCTTCCACATCAGCAACCACTATCATTGGGGCGCCATCATCCTCACCATCATCACGAGCCATTGCTCGTCCCGTCAAAGCCGCTGTCGAGATCCTCGAACAACAGCAGCCTGTGGTGATCACCGCCGAGCTGTCGAGGAAGGAAGCGCCACCAGAGGAGAACGAGCGGGCGCGTGCCCTACTGAACAAGGCTGTTGAATCGGGTCTGAAATTGGAGGAGACTTTAAGAGAACCTGAGTCTCTAACCAGTGATTCAATAGAGAAGAATGGCAAGGTTAACTGGAAATTCCGAGAGAAAAAGCAAGGGCCCATAGCTGACCTTGACTTCGAGAAGCATGACGATTGTAAGAATTCGCCAGTTACAAAGAGCTCATTGGAGTCGATGCAGATCCCAGTCACGGTGGGGAAATCATCATCATCGACGGCTGCTCCAGTCACCGTCATTGTGGCCGAGGAGCTCCCTTCAACCGCAACCACTGCCAGCAGTCTGGGAAAGCAGGCTGATCGGTCATTGATCCTCGCGGTGGAGTCGTCGAGTTTAGCACAAAAGAAAGAGACGTCCCTGCCAAGTGATGGGTGGAAATTCAAAAGGAAGAAGGAAAGACCTAGAGATGGTTTTGAGTGTTTGCCTGGCCGTCAGAGGGATCACACGCCGCCAGGGAACGAGTTCCAGAGGAAGGAGAAGAGTGGCGGCGGCGGCGGGATCCTCTGCTCGCCGCCGAAGAAGACAAAGAAGATGATGGCGTCAACCGGGGCAACGTCGACCGTCGAGCGGGAGCCGGGAAGAGGGCCGGCAGTGAGCGGGTCTCTGCGTCGTCGGCTTGGCGGTTCGCCGCCGTCGGAGGAGGCAGGTGGGGATCGCGCACCGTCGGGGGAAGAAGCCGAGTCGCCGGCGATGGGGTCGGAAGGGTCGCCGTGCCGTCGGCGGAATGACGCGCCGCCGGGGAAGGAAGTGATAGAAAGGAGGCAACCGGAAGTTGAGCCGTCGCCGAAGAACGAGAAGAAGAAGTCGACGGCGGCTTCGGGCTGGCCACCGTTCATCCGGTCGGATTGCTTGCCGCCGGGAAAAGGAGTTGCGAGGAAGATGGAAGGCGGCGGCGGTTTTGCTCCTCCATCAACCCTAGGTCGACCGCCAAAGGAAGGCCCAGTCCGTTGGGGTCGTTCTGCTTAGCAGGAAGAAAATAAGAAGAAAGAAAGTAGTGGGCTGCTTGAGTTAGGAGTTGGGCTTTCAAGGAAGCTTGATCCAAACTCACTTGGAGGAGGATGGAGCCCAAAAGAGTTGGTTTTCACCACCAAGTCCATGGACGAGTGCATTGAAGATTTCAACGAGGTTCATGACGAGAAAGTGCACAAGGAAGAACAGTTCTCCGATTCTTATTTCGTTGATTTCGAAAAGGAAGATGGCGGATTGTTTGGCTGTGAAGAACGTGACATATGTCACATGGGTGGAGGAGAGTCGAGGAAAGTGGAAATGGTCCGAGAAGAGTTCATTCAAGGGATTGAGCGCAATTGGAAACGCAGAAAACGAAGGATAGAAAAGGCGAAAGTCAACTGCAACCTTGAGGACAAGGTTGGTTTGAAGGGGGAGGAGATGATAGAAACCAACTTCGTTAGGGTTTCTATATTTATGATTATAATTACTAATAGGGTAATTCTTATTATGGTTAGTAGTATTCTAGTCGAATTAGGTTTATTAGTAGAGTTTTCCTATATTCGCTATAAATATGTACTAGGCCTATTCATTCGGAATCAATAAGAAAGAATTAAGAAAAGTATCTCTTCCTAAACCTTATTCTTCTCCCAATCCCGTCTTCTCCTCTTCCTAGGCCGCCGACCATTCTTTCTGTACTTCCCCAAATTCTCAATCTCAATCTCCAATTCTATATCAATTCCCAATTTCCCATCCTAACAGATAGAACCCTAGAAATAGGTTTCTATCAAAGAACGGTTAGGATCTAGTGCACCACTCAACCAGGGCAATCCAAATGATGAATCAGCAAGTTTGTAAATATTATATTAATCAAAAGACTAGAAAGAAAACCAGCGCTCGAAGAACTAGCGGAGGAATCCATTTTGGGTATGTTCGTCTCCTCATTCTTGTTTTGTTTTGGTGGATTGAGGCACCGGAATGTGCTCTTCATTGAGCAAATTCAAATTACTAAAAAGCTGTTAAAACTCTACAATTATATAATGGGAGTCCTCCGGCCGGTTTCTCCATCGACACATTGATACCCAAATGCTCAAATATCAATGGCCCCCAACCTTGAGTCGGGAGCTTCGAATTCTAGATTATGGCCTCTCCAAAAATTCGTAGCTCGGTGAGGAGGGCGATGTCCTTCAACATTATCACCATCTCTCCTTCGACAAGGTGGAATGCATGTATCCCCTTCCGCCACCTCTCAACCAAGGTGGAATGTATGGGATGGAGTACTTATTAGGTCATCTACCCACATCAGCGATCTACGTCGACCTCGCGGACCAACCATCGGTCGCGATCGTCAACCACACATTGCATATCGCGCTACGCTAAAGCGATTCGCATCGCCCGTCTCAAACAATCGTGCGTTGCCCGTGCGAACCACATTGAACACTGATCTTTTAAACAAACTAGCTTGGACCCGGCCATTTGGCCGGATGAATTTCATTAGATTAATCTAATGTTGTCTGTAAAATATTTGAACTTTCCTATATTTTCATGTTGTTATTACCCATCATTTATAATGTATTATTTTTTATATTTGATGTATGGTTTGTCAATTTTAATATGCACTTATTAGTTCTTAATCTATTATAGAATTTTACTCAATCAACACACTAAACACTAACCTTTAACTTTTAGTACTTCATGTAAGTAATATATGATTTGGTAGAATATTGCTCTTACGAATTTTTCTGAATTTTCTCAATTCAGTTGATTGTTGCATAAAAGGTTCTTATCCTATTACATGACACTCAAGATACTCTTAATCCTCCAACTGGTCATGTATGCAAATTAGTCATTCCTATCTTAGCATACATGCTTATTCGAGTTTCATGGTAAACAACTGTCCCTCATCTAAATCCCAATTCAATTATATTTCTACAACATCAATTATGGTAGATGAACACACATTGTTAAAGGAAAAATAAATTTTACTCCGTTGTTTCCATCTTATTGGCACCACAGGAAAAATGCTTTTCATACACATATTTGGTATGAACATAGTAATTAAACAAAATTAATGTGTGGCGAATGCTCTAGTTTTGTTTATCTAGTATTAGAAAGCATAAAATCCTTAGTCCTTGCGCAACTGATGACGGTTATGAAACCAACGTGAACACAGCAGGTATGCTCGACATGATCGATTTAAGACCTCTAAGTAAAATGACATCGTTTTAGTGAATTTACTTAATGAAAAATTAATTTATTATTTATTTTATGAATTCAAAACTTAAATATAGATGTTATTTGTTGGATTCAAGTATAAATGTTATGAATCGATGTTAAATATCATACTTAAACTTGATTATTTGTTATTTTACTAGGAATGCCATATTTTGTTTTAATACAAATATGAATTATTAGTAAATGGTCTTCATATATGTTTTATATATGATTAAATTCGTTTGATATTAATGGTTTTTCATATTCCTACAAAGTTTGTTAAACCGGAATGAATCGTACAGTTCAAACCATTGCACTTGCTAAGCCGATAGATTTGACAACCTTGATAAAAATACAAGAGAACAATTTAGTTAATACTTTAGCTGAGTCCCGAAGATGCTTTATATTTGCCAATAAATGATAGTAACAGTAATAAGTTATAACCATTTTTGTTGTGGAACGTTATTAACTATTTATTTTGGTAGAAAAGTTATAACCATTGTTAACAACAAAAAATGTAACCAAATATTAATTCTTTCTGTTTTTTTTCGTTGAATTTATTATTTCTTTCTCAAAAGTTAGGTAATGTTAATTTTGTTTATAGACTAACTGAAGATATTGAAGGTAGTTAGTTATAAGATAATTGATGATTTCATTCCACAAATACGTGGTTCTGCTAATTAATGAACTAAAAAGGGTGTAAGTAAGTAAGTAATGGAGTTGCTTTGTTAATCATTCTGTTAGGGTTTAATTTTCAAAGAAAAGTAAAAAGGGTGTAAGTAAGTAATGGAGTTGCTACCGCCGACTTGTTTGCGGCTGCTTGTCATCGCCTATTGTTGGGAGAAGGTTATACTGGACCACTTCCTTACATCCCCCTCAAACGAAAGTCGGTTCATGAGCTTGAAGTTTACACAGATCCATCATACCATGTGCTTGAAAGACAACGATTAATATTGGAGGTCGTGAGGACTTAAAAACGTGACCTCAAGAACAAATCAGCTCTGATACCATGTCATAAACCAGTTGGTCCCAATAACTCGAGTTGTTGGGAGAAGATTATACTGGATCTTATACAGACCCGTGTATGATGTTTAACCACTTTCTTACACAACCTCAATCATTTGACATATTCAGGGAAGTATATTTGCTTTCTATTACTTGTGTTGATTATTCCTTTTTATCTTTTCGTTCATATTCACTTTCGTGTACTGTCTCAAACCCTTCCAATCAACCTTACAGAAGCAGTTCCCTTTGCCTTTTTTGTCTGGCTCTTCACACTCTTCTGCGTGATCATCTTAGGCGTCATCTTGTTGTACGAGCCCTAATTGCTGGTATTGGTTGAAGAAATGTGGCCTCTTTTTGGTTTTCCCTGTTCTCAAAGCGTAAATGTCATGCTTCACCACATCTTTTGGTGGTTGTCCTCTCGCCAATCCAGCAGTTTTTTGGCCAACGCCATCGTGCGTCGTCAAGACTGTCTTCTTTTCCACACATAAAACCCTTTCTATCGGATACCACCTATTTTTTGCACGGTTTTTCTTAGAGACTAAGATGTGGGTTCTTCCTCGCCGCCGCCATCGCGCTGTTGAAGCAATGGCATCCAACCTTCCGGAGGACAGTGGGCGGTTGGATGTATATTCGATTTTTTGGCGGTTTCACCTCCCACAATTTCATTGGTGGTTTGCCGCACGATTCCACTCTCCAAATTCTATTTTATTTTATTTATTTATTTTAATGGTAACCACGTGGTAATTCGACGAGCATTGGAGAATGATGGACATGATGATAGACACCCTTTTGTGGTGATTTCCAATTGGTCATACGGTGAACTATATATGGTGATTGATGTCTATCATGATCGAGGTGGCGTGATGCTTGAAGAAGTGCGATTGCTCAAGACCTCTTTTACATTTGTTTCTTTTGTGTTTGCTCCTCGTAGTACTAACATGACTGTCCATCGCGTAGCACAAAAACCCTTGCCTCGGTAGCAACCCATTTGGGTGAGTACCGCTTTTTCATCTCCATTGCATGGTAATACTCTATATATTATGATCTATATATGACAAAAAAAAAGTAATGGAGTTGCTGATTTCTTTTCTAATATTTTAATTAAAAATCGTAAGTGAGAATTTAGAACCCAAATTGTGCGCCCAAATGGACAAAAAAACTATAAAAGCCAAAATTAGTGAGGGGGTGCAAGAAAAAAAGTGAAGGCTTAAATTATCAAATTGGGGCACCGAAATGTGCTCTCCATTCAGCAAATTCAAATTACTAAAAAGATGTTAAAACTCTACCATTATTTTGGTAAACTAGTTTTCTACTAGGCCAGTTGGGCGGAGAATTTCATTTTATTATTTATATTAGTTAATTTATTTACATGTTTTGAACTTTTTAAATCTTGTATACATTTTTTGCTCTCGCTTCATAATTGAATATGTGGTATGTCTATATCGAATAATATTTAATAGTTAGCACACTCGCTTGTGATGTTTTTATTCTCTGATCATAAATCATTTCGTAAAGGTTTATCACGTCCACTTAGGATCGTATATAAAAATTTTCCACAAAAAACGCTCAAATTTATTATCTTATACAATATATATCAATTCATGATTCTCGAGGTTGTACGAACTCTCACCTAATTAATCAGAGTTCAAATTTATTATCTTATACAATATATATCAATTCATGATTCTCGATTTTGTACGAACTCTCACCTAATTAATCAGAGTTCAAATTAGTGGAAAAAGATATTTGATTACTGGATAAATTATGTTTATCCCAATTGAAATTTGACACACATCGTATCTCTTAAAATGATTAATTTCTCTAAACCTCACTCATTTTTATTGTTGATGTTCATGAAGTCTTTGTATAACAACTTATTACAATCGCTAATATTTTAAGTTTGTACTAACCCTCAACCCATGCCTTTTGTCTAGATGTTCGTTTAGAATATGAATCCAAGGATTCATATACACTATCGAAGGTTCTCATCTTAACATGTTCCTTCAATGTATAACTTCTCAACTATTTGAATTTCCATTCGCTATTTTTTTTAAATATATTTGGTGTTTGTTCTAGAACAAAATTTTCATTACTTATATTAATAATTGGTAAAGTGTGTATACGACCGACAAATATTTCAGCTGCATTCAAAATTATATATTCCTTGAATAATTAACTTATAATTTTTTAACAAAATATTTTGTAGCAAAATTTTAAAGTTCATACAAACATTGTGGCTTTTCACGTGTATTTAAATTATTGGATGTATTGTAGACACATCTAGTGTTAATATCTAAACATATATATACAGAGAGTTTATTTACTTTCAACACTAATTAATACCTTTGAACTCAACTCCTTGGGTGAAATATGATATCAATTTTTTTTATTATTGCCAAAATTTG